TAATTTTGAGTCAAGATTTGGCAGGAGTTTGTGCAAAAATTTTATATTGTTTTATATTGCACGGTCCAAATCCACGCCAAAGCTTAGCCAAATCACAAATCATGATTTGCGGCCAAACGGGGCCTTAGAGCTTCTCTATCATTTGTTATAAGGAGTCACACAGGTTTGTTGAAATTATCATCTTTTACTTATTCCTACCTCACTATCCTCACTTTTCAATCAGCTGATCATTCTATTCATCAGCCATTTATCTCTCCAATATAGTCTGATATCTTGTTGTGTTATGTTTTATGACCCCCTAGCTTGTAGTCAAGAACCCTGTCTAAGCAGGGCTTATCATCTCCCACATAGATTCTCTTTTCTTCTTGATTATGATGTTTATGTCCTGGTGTTTATGTGTGTACCCCTGTTTGTTCCAATTTCTTCTATTCATTATCATAGCCTAGTCCTCTGAAATCAAGCCATTTGTTCTCCTGCTTCTTTTTGCACCACAAGCCTGTTACAGTAAGATAAAAAATCTGCTGCCCTTTCTCCTCAGTCAACTGCTTTGTGAGCTCAGGTTCCAAAAAAGGTTTCAACAGATGCTCTACACCAGGAAATATCTGAGGGCAGTAGGTGTCAGGTGACATGAAGTGAAATATGTAACAACTCCATTGTTACTCTTGTGCTTGTCTGCTCAAATAACAATGTTCCCTTTGTAGTCATCAGGGAGTCCCAACCCTTTTACTTTGAAGTAACACTGGAATACAGGCAGGAGTTAGCTTCATGTCACCTGACATGTACTGCCCTCAAATTTTTCATGGTGAGCTACAGTGGACTCCCCAAAGAGGGCAGCCCTCTGAACTCACCAAAGAGGGCAGCCCTCTGGAGTCTGGACTGGTTGACCACCATTTCAGTCAAAAATACTATTTAGATTCAAAAGTTCAACACAATTGTGACAAACTGCCTGATTATGTGCTTGGTTTTGTCATGATGATGCCAATGTTCCAAACACAATATGAATAAATGTGTACCTGATGAAGATTCTTCAGTCCAAAAATACTTTGGTTGACTCATTCAATTGTTATGTTGTCCACTACTTGCTTTCAGCTATTGTTTTTGTGTTTTTCCTTGGTTTGTTCAGAATGATAGTGGTGTTCTTTTGTATATTCTGACATTGTTTGTACCTGATTTAGTTGTTTATATACAGAGATTTGGTATTGATCCCACCAAGATGGGAAGCATTATGTGGTGATATCAAAGTCATGTTGCATGAAGGCTGCATAGTTGCATGGTTGAGGTGACAATTTTCGGACCACAATTGTACAAAACAATGTTTGGAGGAAAGAAAGGCGCACCTGTGGAGATTTATTGACCTTCTCTGCTCCAAAATTCTAGACGCTGGATGGTATTTCAGGTAAGGTAAACTATTTATTGCTCTCTAACTACAATTTTATGAATGCTAACTCAAGAAGTCTAACACTTTCTAGGTTAATAACACTATTACTCCTTCTCTCCTGTTTTTCTGAGTTATTATAAGTTATGTCTCTCCCCCCTCCATCCCTTCCTTGCTCTGAAAATACCTCCTATTTCCTCTATCCCACAGCACTCCGCTCTGTCCCTCCCATGCTGTCACCTGCTCTCACTCCCTTGTACTCCACATGTTTCCAATCCTCCGCTGTTCAGTCAGTCTCTAACTGCCGCTTCTGCGTCTGATCTAGCCACTCCAAACCCCACTTCAATCTCTTGGTGCCCCCAAAACTCCTTACCCCCTTTGTTGTTGGCTGTACACCCCAGAGCACGCCAGTGCCGAGATTACTGGTGTTTGGTTGCCTCATAACTTGTGCATTCAATCCCCACTACCTCTAAGCTTTCTGAAAACTTAGAAAGCTTAAATTTCTATCCCGCATCAATCTCCCCCATTCCTCAGCCTACATGCTTTCCTCAGCTCTGAATGCTTTTGTTAGCCGCCACCATGCTTTCCTCATCCACCAGATAGTTTGGCCAAAGCTTTGGCCCGGTTGCACTCTCCTCACTTTTGAGGGCCTGGTTGCCTTGGCTGGTGTGAAGCACCACCTAATATGCACATTTTGGTGTAACAGACTTTCAGATGGATGTACAGCCTGTATATTGGGAGGTATCCACAAGCTGAGTAGGCAGGATTTTATATCCTCATGATTCCTCTCACCCAATCCAATTTTCAGAGCTTTATCTTGAAAACTGGATGAGGTGTTTTTTTAAGCTAGTCGAATCGCAAAAACTTTCTCAAATGTTGGGCAATGACATGAAAACCTGCTTATGTGATAGATTGTAAAGCTCAGCCAGATTGAAATTAAAAATTTGTCATTTTTTTGAGTTATTTCTTGATAGAAACCAAGAACTTCATCTTGGGCATCATCTGCCCAATGCACTCCTCAAGAAACCTGCAAATATGACTTTGTAGAAATGTTTGTCCAGCAACAAACACTCAAGAAGCCCAGGAGTGACACCTGGGTGTGTTTGTTTTGGATACAAGCCTCTACCACACTTTGTTCATGAGAGACTTTACAAGGTTGGCTCCCTCCGCCCTCCGCAGGAGGGACTTACACCAAAAAAAACATTTTTGATGGGGGAGGAACACCAAAAAAGATCAACTTTCCACTCTTCTGGATGCTGCTCCACAACATTTATGCCAGTGGTGACATTGTTCACTTCAAAGAAGCGCCAGAAGCCAGCCTTTTCTTTGATTTTTTTAACTCTTAGTGTTTGCTCTAAGAATGGTCAAAAGGGCCAAAAACCAGAAAAGTGATGATTGCTTGTTTTCCATGCCGGGGGACTTTGGATCCTAATCATCCCACAGTTATAGAAAGATTAAACTGAGGAGGACTGATGGAGAACCAAAAAAGTATTTACATGCTCAAGTTTCTTGTGTTTTGGAAAAAAAATGAAATCAGAATCTTCATCCCTAGATTTATTGAGGAAGCAAGCAAGTAAAGGAAGCCAACTTCTGATAGATCAAAGGCAAGATATAGGCCATCCTTTTGGCCAAACTATTCAAAAAAGGCAAGTGGTGGTTTAGGAGATACAAGTGTTTGAAAAAGGCTTAAAACAAAACTTGTTTTCCTCCTGAAACTGTGCAGGAAATCATGGATTAGGCACAAGTCACCCTTTCAGGGGGTGGCTTTTGGCCACAATCTCAGGGGCCAAAACTGGGGATGTTTGCTAATTTCAATGAGTATGTATGTATGAAAAGCTGAGATGTGGGGAGACATTTCTCATCCCCCTAAAGGAGAATTTAGTTGGCAAATATACATAGCAACAACAAGCTTCAAAATATGTACAAATGGAGCTTGGCCAATTGTCAACTCTTTGGCTACCCAAGTAACCTCAACCTATTTTTCACATCTGATTTGTTTCAACCATCAGGAATTTTTGGAATTGCCTAAGTAAATGGAGGCTGACAGCCTCAAGCTGGCCATGGATCCTTATGAATAAGTTTGATTTTGTGACTCTCTGGAAAAAATAAAGTTTGGAGCACACAGCACAGTCTTGGAGCCAATGTTTGAATCAATTCTTGCTTTAACCAACAAGAAAATTAACCTGGCCATCACCTGTAACACTGTTGTGATGGACATCTTCCTTCATCCCGTGTGTTGCTTGATTCCCTTTACTGAGCGGTTCAATGAAAATTCTAGTTGTATCATCAAATTAATCAAAGAAATTCATTGAGTGTGAGACTCTGCTTGCATCCCTAAAATAATCTCCGCCCACATCAAAGGGGACTGAATTGGATCTTCATTTCAGGCCCACTCCAAGTGATGTGGATTCCAATGGTGACAAGTTCAACTTCTACCCAGAAAACTCACAGGTCAACACATCAATACAAACATTTACCACTACAACAACAGTGATTTCCCCATGGACAAGAAAGGCTGTGTCTTAGGGTGGTGTAAGGTAAGGAAATTCAAATATAGAAATTCAAAGAGTTTGTACAATTCACTGCTGACTGTGTTGGAAAATTTATTTATGGGCACATGCAAATGATTTCCCTGCTTGTAAATACATAGAATAGAAAAATAATTTTGCTACACTGCACCCTATTTAAGCACAAATTTGCTACACTATTGCTAATTAGTAGCAACTCATTGCTACATGCACACTGAGGTAGCACACTACAGATTTCCAATTCTTTCCAGAGAAATTTCAAAAGTAGAAGTGATAACAATCCCCCCACTGCACTTGAGTGTAGCACAAAACCTATCAAAGCCACTGTGCTTTGCTATTTAAAGCATAGCCCTTTCACCCTTGCAACTTTGAATACCCCAGATGCCTCAATATAGATCAAATATCATAAGATAATTGGCCTGTAAAAAGCTCTGTTGCTAATCTATCAGAAAATCTTATGCTTCTTCACAACTCTTTAACCTTACAATTATGGTGTTCAAAGTTGTATGTGCAAATAATTGTGCATGCATATTTCATTAATGATAAAATCTTGTTTGCGGGGAATGTTGACAATCTGATTATGTAAACTGGAGATTTCCCACCAAACACAATTTGATTATTTATGAAATATGCACCCATAATTGTTTGCATTTTTAAATTTGAACACTGTAGATGTCCTGAAAACCTAATTAACACATTGCTGAACAATTGAAAAAGGCCCACTTGAAGTTCAAAAAGGTAATTGCCTGCTGATTCTAAAATCAAAAGATATTTTTGTTACTTTTATTTTTAAAAAAAGAGATTTTCCAAAACATTTGCACCTTACAGGCGGTATCAAAAACAGCCTGTTTGTGCAATGTACATTAGTGAATATGGATGTCAATAACAAGATGCTTTGCATTGCATTGATTTTCAAAACCTTTATGATACAATTTACAATTCCAATGCAATTGGCCCAACATTGAGCACATGAACCCGGCCTTTGTTCTGACAACAAATTTTCATCACAAACTCCCTGAACTTATCTAGAGGAAATAGTTGGTGAAATGTGAAAAATTAAAACTGCACTACAAAATTTTTTGCCTATTTGAAATGATAGGGTTGGTAGAAAGATGCTTCATCAAGGTCTGGGTGAACTGGGCCCAGAGAGAAATGGAAAAATTGACTGATAAATTGACAGGACTCAACTTGTATTTTGTATAGACATGACTAGCAACGGCTATGGGTTAAACTTAAGAGGGAGCCATGTTACCGCAAATACCAGCAGGGGGCAATCAATCATTCCATGAGAAACAATCGAACTTCACTCCGATCATCTTGGTTTTGCGGGGAATGCGGGGCTTTGCTGGGCGAAACCAAATTGACACACAAGCCATTCAGATTCGCATAATGCCTTAGGATGTGTGCAGTCCACAGACCAGAAAAGACATCAGGGAGATCTGCAATCATCCAAGTCCCGACACCCTAGAAAACAAGTTGTGCTGCAGACTGCAATGGCCGGCCGACTTTGGCACTCTGATGATCGAACTGCTCAATCGGAGCCGACCCTCTATGTACTCTAGATTCTATATTTGCGAAGTTAAATTGTTCCCCTCATCCCCTCACATCCCTCTGCATGCATCAAGCAAATCAAGGCGAGCCTTCACTTGTGTGACTTTGATCGGCTGTTTGAGTCAATGAATTCTGGGGTGCATACCTTAGCTGTGGCATGTCCGGTGATGTTGCTATGGATGTATCCATGTGCATCAATTGGATCCCAAATGTACGTTTTGATATAAATACAAATCAACCAGTGGATAGTTTTAATTGGTTTGTTTGATCGAAACGCAAATGATTTCCTCATGCAAGCTCTGGCCTCTTCGGTCTCCTATGTAATCCCCAGTCCTTCAAATAAATATGTTGCAGTAGATATTTATATTTTATATGACTTGTTTGGGCCCAAGCCGGTCGGGATGTGGCGGTGATCGGGAAGTTAAGACTGATGATCGATTGAATACATTATACGATGATGTCAATCGGGATGCTCGTTGGCTAAAGATAAGGGTTATGCTTGAAGTTATGCACATAAGAAATGGGGACTGGTTTCAGTGAAGGCCAAGCTACGAAATGTTGGAAGACAACTCTCGGGTTGATATCTACCCTCAGTTGCCTATATAACCACCACTCCTGATGTCCATTTCGTCCCTCACCAGCAGACAAACAACCGCGAATCTCTAAAATCCAAAAACCAAAAACCTCCGAGCATACTACCAACTCCACCGCCCTTTTTACCGAAAAGATGAACCCTTGCAACGGAAACTGCTCTTGCGGTGCTTGTGCGTCCTCGCCACTGTCTCCCTCTTACTAGCTTCACCAATCACGATCTCTAAAACGCTTTTGTTTTTGTTTCTGTTTCAGCGTGCACCTGCAGCGGTTGCACTTCTCACAAGAAGTGAACGATTGGCGTGAGGTGAATCCACTGCTGATAAATCTAGTGTCGGTGAGTGCCCGAGGAAGATCCTTAACCGCTATTTTAAACTGACTCTTAAGTTATTCCAAATCCTATGTATATAGTCCCCAACGACTCCAGCGGCGTTGCTCCTTTGGTCTGTTCGCCCATCCAACTGAAGAAGAGTACCCTTTTACCTAGAAATACACGCAGGGATCCCCGCCATTTTTCTCTTCATTCTACTCTAGCGTTGTATCCTTTTCATCATCTCCCCCTGAAGAGTTCTCATGCTTTCATGTCCTTAAAATGAATGACAAGTGATGCTTAGCCTCTGTTTGCTCTCGTGATACGATACTGAGATTGATCTCAATTGTCCATGTTTATGATATGAAGTGCGATGGACTTTTACAGAGTTTACGCCATTATGATTCTGGTGAGTCCATCATTATGTGAGTAACGTCGAGAAACTCATTGGCGACTGTCGGAATGCAGTCTTTGGTCAGGACAAATATGATATAGCTTCATAAGAACTTCATCGAGTTAAATCGCTCTTGACTATTTGTGGTAGACTGCAGTGTTCATTGCTGCCTATGGCCGCTATGGTTTGAATCAAATCTTTGCTTTCAATTCTGAGCCTATAATGTTCCACTCAACCTGCGACCATGACTGAGCTCCTTTTGGCATCCGAATGAGCCGAATGATGCGTGTCCAAGGACTCAAGCTACTGTCAGTTCTTCTTCCAGGGAGGAGGGTCAAGAGAGCACAAGTCAGATTTGTTGCAAGGTTAACTTGAGGGCATTAGCTGATTGAGCTCTCGTTCTTCGGATTCTAGTGATAATAGCTATAACAACTTAATACCAGCTGTATCCGTCAAGATTCAGATCAATGACCAGGTTAAACTTCAAGGTCAATCTAGAGTGTCAGACGGAGTGTTCAACTCGGTATCCTTCCAAAAGAAAAGGTGAAGCAAATTTATCTCAGGTGACTATAGCCACCGTGGACATGGAATCGAAGGAATATCTGTGGTAGGGTTAAAAGGAACTATGGATCATTCTATTCTGCGCGATAACTTGTTGCCTTCAAAGTAATGATACAAGAAACTAGAATTAAATATTCCAAAGAAAAAAAAATCATGTTCTAGGCCATTATTCTAAGTGTACATGGTAGGATTCAAAGGGTTTTGGAGAGGCTAATTATTAGATTAGAGGACTGTTTTGATGTGAGGAAAACATAAATATTGGAAGATAACATCAACGGTTCAGTAGCCATTAGGACGATTTATAATGAAGCAAAAATTCCAATTTCAGACCTGGAGAAGTGCGAATTTGAAAGGAAGGTCAGCTGTCGGAGACATTGACTCGTTTTAGTTACCAATGGAAGAAGAGAATGGACATACCAAGTGATCTTCGTGTTTGGGAGTTTCCGAAGCGTCCTTCTTGAACAATCCATAACTGCCTCCACCGACGGTGTTGAATCCCAGTCCTAAGTTGAATCCGAGGCCACCAGGATAGTAGTAGTTATTGTTGAAGTAAGGGTTTGCGAGGTAGGAGCTGCCAAAGCCCCAGGGGCCGTAGAAGCTGTTCCCAAACGTGCCGAAGCAGGAGACAATCAAGCACTTCTCGTTCGATTGTCCTTTGTGGGAGGCTGCGTTCTGGTCTGCTCGTGGGACAAGAACCGTCGGGATAGCGAGTGCTGACTGGAGGGCGGCCAAGAAGCAAGCGGCGAAGACGAGACAGTTCATGATTGATGGTAGGATTTTTTTTTGTTTTGTTTTCAAGTGTGGTCAATGTTTTTGTTGGTTATGTATCGGTCTGAGATGGATGCGATGGCCGTAGAGTAATGGATCTGTTGGAGAGTGAGGGAGGGAGGTAGGAAGGCGCTTCGACGGGCGCCTTAAGTAGCTTTTCCTTGCAATACGGGTATAATACATGGCCACCTGCTGAAAGGCTCCTTGATTGGATGGTAGTGTGCCGGTGTGGGTGGAACGACACCCAAGTGGTATTGATCTCATGAGATAGTGAGAGGACCGGGATAGATAGACAATCTATCAATCAATGGATGACTTCCCGTCGCAATCTGCGACCCTCCCAGAAGTCAATTTACACCCCTTAGATCTAATTTTTTCAACATCAAAAATATTTTTTCTTGAGCCTTCCAGCAATCACAGTCACCTGAGCTGGTTGAAATGCTGATTGTGTTGTTAATTTAGGACTGAGAGAGGCCTACAAAGCCTTCTAAATCGCGACGGGAAGTCCTCCATTGGACCTCTCGAGCCGAGTCTGCGATTCTGTTCACAACTTCCATGGAGTGATCACTCGAATGATGATGGCTCAATACCCAAGTACCGAGTGCGATGTTCACCAACCGAGCCCAGGCAATTCGGCGATAGAACATATATGCCGGCTCTAGATTCGACTCTAGCCTGCAAATTGACTCGAGGTCGTTAAGCGTCGACTCTCGGCGCTGCTACCGTCGACTTCGACCCACCCATGTTGAGGTCGGTTGAGATCTACTCCCTGATCATACCCGTGAGCATTTCGCACGTCTCGCGGTAGACTTCTTTCCTATTAGCTTAACACCATCCCCTCGTTTCAGGGGCCGGAGGACGGGCGCGCCGTTGGCGCCTCGCGAAGCGACATAAGCTAGACTTTTTTCTCAGCAGACAACATCACGGCTCTTTCCAACTGGAACGGTCTACATACATCCCCGGGACCGGGATCAGACATCGTTCTTAGATTGCTGATGCCGACTCCGATGGCAAAAGGAGGACAGGTTAAGTCAGACCTCTGCTCTGCCCTGAGTCGGCCTCATGGGTTGAGTCTCACTTGGGGCACTATAAGAAGGTCTCGTAATTTTGTTTGTGATCACAAAGAATTTCAAGTTTGGTACATAATAAAGATACAGATTTACAATTCCGTGACAGATATAATGATTACAAGAGTGTTAGAACCGTTTGACAGTCACCTGAGCAGGAAAGTAACACAACCATTTGGACGCAGTCCAGGGTGTCAAGCCAAGGCAACTTCTAATACGAGATCTAATAATTCAATCTTCGCTTTTTTAACTCTGAATCTCCTGAAAACCGTTAAAGAGGATGATGGTCTTTTGCAAGAGCATATCGTACGGATCGGAACTGTCTAAAAGAGTGCGGTTGGTTCAGTTGGAACATCAGGATAATTGAAAAAAAAAAAAAACTTAATCCTCAGACAAACGAAGAGAGTGAGTTGATTGCAGGTTGAGTGTTACAAATTATGGCCAAGGGGACAACGGATGCAAAAAGATAATGGTTATATAGACATAGGAACAGAATGGGCAACCTGTGGTTGAGGTTGCGGAGTAGGAGCCCCCCCCTCGGGGGCTTGGGTTCTACGTGGTGGTGGTGGTGGGTGGTGGTACCCTGACAGGCTGTGCTGATGCAAGCCTTCACAGCAGAAAGAGCACTTAGTAGGAAACCACCAAGCCGAGCAACCCATCCGAAGAACCCCATGTTCATCATCTCAATCACTCCCACCAAGCCAAGAAGGAAAACTCGATGGTCTATCCTCACCCTCCTCGTCATCTGTCTACCCCAGACACTGATTATCGCACTCAAGCAACAACCACAGCCACGATCGTACGACTCTCATGCCTACTACGTCATCGAAACCACACCCACCAGCTCAGGACCATCATCAGATCCAATCTCAGGCCAATCGATCGCACAAGACCTGGCAGACAGACTGGATACCGAGTTCGTCGAGCGAGTCGGCGAACTAGAGAACTTTTGGCTGATCAAAGCACCCAAGACTAGGGTCGAACGAGGCTATCAACTATTCATCGACCCCTCCTCATCTCATCATCAGCTTCATCCTCGGAGTCTTCCAGAAAAAGAAAACCCTCAACCAAAACAACCACGTGACTCAGTCCTCGAACACTTCCAACTCATCAGACGCTCGGCACATGACCCACTCCTCGAATCTCAGATCAACCACTTCGATCACAAATCACGTCAGAAACGATCCCTACCCAAATCAACACTCTCAGCACGCCATCTCGCATACTCGATCAGATCCCTCGAGCGCCAAGTTTTACGCCAACGTCACAAACGGGACCTGATCTATGTACCCACCCCAAATGGACCGGCACCACTCTCTCCCCGTCAGACCGTCTCAAGACCTACCAAGGGAGGGAAGATCCTCAGCCCCTCCCAGCAAGTCGCCCGGCAATTCAATATCTATGACCCTCTCTGGCCGAAACAGTGGCATCTCGTCAATGATGTCATCCACAAACATATGATCAATGCAACCGGTGTTTGGGAGATGGGAATCACCGGTAAGAACGTCACCGTGGCGATCGTCGATGACGGCATAGATATGTCATCCGATGATCTCAAATCTAACTTTGTACGTAATAAGAAAAATCATATGTATCTCCAAAATTTGTCTACTTCACACTCTCATTTTTTTTTTTGCTTCGATCGAAATTAGTTCGAGGCAGGTTCATGGGATTATAATGATCATACACCACTACCCGAACCACGTTTACCCGATGATCTACATGGGACGAGATGCGCCGGTGAAATCGCAGCCGTACGGAATGATGTCTGTGGGGTTGGGGTAGCCTTTGATGGGAAAGTGGCTGGGATCAGGATCCTGTCGGCGTCGATCAGTGATGCCGATGAAGCATCGGCACTGAACTACGGTTATCAAGAGAACCACATCTATAGCTGCAGTTGGGGTCCACCAGATGATGGGAAGAGCATGGAGGCACCCTCTCGATTGATCTTCAAGGCTATGCTCAATGGAATCCAAAAGGGTAGAGGCGGCAAAGGTAGCGTGTTCGTCTTTGCTAGCGGAAACGGCGGGGCTGTCGATGATCAGTGCAATTTCGACGGTTACACGAACAGCATCTATTCGGTCACGATTAGCGCGATCGATCGACAGGGACTCCATCCATACTACTCTGAAGTTTGTTCTGCTAATATGGTGGTCACCTATTCTTCTGGTAGCGGTGATAACATCGTGAGCAAATTCTTCTTTATCACCTTTTTTTCCGTTCTTCTTCTTTTCCTTTGATATGTGAATAATTTGTTCATGGATTCCCCTCGCCCTCAGCTTATTTTCATCTAATTTTTTTTTCTCTCTTTCTTTTCTTTCTAGCATACGACTGATGTAGGTAAGAACAAATGCACCGATCGACATGGAGGGACCTCGGCAGCAGCCCCATTAGGCGCTGGTATCTTTGCACTTGTCTTACAAGCCCGACCTGATCTGACATGGCGGGATGTACAGTACTTGGCAGTCACGACGGCGATTCCATTCAGCTTGGAAGACCCGGACTGGCAAAAGACGGCCAGTGGACGACTGTACAACCATAAGTTTGGATTTGGGAATATGGATGCCTATCAGATCGTCCAAGCAGCCAAGACGTGGAAGTTAGTCAAGCCACAGGCATGGTGGACGAGTGCCAACGTCAATGCTCACAGTCAGCCGGTCACTGCCCAAGGAGCTAATGCGACCATCGTCGTCAGCCAGGCCGATCTTGACGGGGCCAACTTTGAATCTTTGGAACACATCACCGTTGCAGTGAACATCAAACATACTCGAAGGGGGAACGTTCGGGTGTTACTGATCAGTCCGCATGGATCGGTGTCGATCCTGGCGGCCCATCGACGGTACGACGATGCCTCAACAGGCTTCCCAGGATGGGTATTCATGACTGTCAAACATTGGGGCGAGAATCCGGTGGGGGCATGGACGTTGAGTGTACAGGATCCGATCGGGGCGCCGGACACGAATGGGACGTTTGAGGACTGGGCGATGGGTATGTGGGGCGAGTGCAAGGACCCAACGATCCAGAAGCTGTTCAAGATGCCCGACGATGCCGAGATCCTGCTGCCACCAAGTCCGGTCTCCGGCGTTGCCCTGGAGACGGTTATGCCGGGATTGAGTTCGAGTGTGTTTGGCGCGGCGGCGACGCCACCGCCAGTGCCCCTGAAGAACCCGCCCCCGCTGGTCTCGGACACAAGCATGGGGTTCTCGAAAACAAAGTCATTCGTCAAGCCGACGGCTCATCTGCCAGCCGATCATGCTGGCAACACGGGTGCCCCAGGAGACGTGGTAACAGGGATGGGGAGCATGTCGGGCTACCTGAAGGGGAAGTCTTCCTGGGTCTTTGTCGCCTTCGGGATCGCGATTGTCCTCGGCGGCTGTCTGTGCGGCTGGTTCTTCCTCCTTCGCATGCGGCGCCGGCATGATCGGGCGCGCTTCCAGAACGAGGTTGACCAGGGTGATCAGGGTGTCGGGCTTCTCTCCGGTGCCCGGCGTCCCGGCGGCCTCTTCCAGCAGGTCCTCGGCAAAGCCTCGACCAGACGTGGCAACGGATACGGCTTTGAACCGGTTGCTGGCGAGGAGGACCTTCCGATGCGCTCGTTGGGCCGAGGGCCACTGGATAAACATCCAAAACCTGGTCTGTCCAAGCCTAAATCGACAACTAAAGACCTTTATGACGCTTTCGGGAATGTCTCTGGTTCCGAGGACGAGAGCGATAACGAGAACGTCGATGGAAAACAACAGAGGGAAGACCTTAAGAAGACTCGCGCAGCTCCTTATAACGATATCGATGTCGACGACGAATATGTATTGTCTCCTCCCTCTCCTGTTCCCCTTTGTCCTACTGAAACAGAAAAAAAAATGAATCTGACTCTCTCTCTCCCTGGATTTTTCTGTTAAAACTTGTAGATGGACTCATTCTTGGAGGACCCTGATGTTAACTCTCCTCTCGCTTCTCGAACCTCACCTACTGATGATAATAATGATCAAATAAACAATCATGACGACGAGGATGATCTACAGGATCTAGAAGATTGATTGCTTGAAATCATTCTTTGTCATCTTTTTACTTGTCAACTAATCTTCCTGTTTACGACCTAATGAATATTTCTGGAAAAGGTTGGTCTGTTTATCTTTTTGATTCATCATTACTCCCACTCCTCTTTACTCCTTTCTTTTTTCTTCTTATAATTAAAAAAGTGATGAGTTGAATTAATTCGCTCCATTAGAGCTCAAACAAGCAAAAATCTTCAAAAATCTTGTTGTCCTAGACTTCCTTTGTTTGCTTCATCCGGATGTTTTTTCCGATTTATAGAAGAGGGTATTTATATATAATAACTGTATTTAGACCTAGAACAAAACCCCCCCTCGTTTCTGATTGCTTTCTTTTTGTCGTTTTATCTATACAAATAATTTCTCCTCATAAGCAAATCTCTTCTCTCATCCTGCTTTCTCCATCTCAAATTCTCCTAAGAAGACTCAAACGCGATTCTTATCTTTTTCGGCTTTTTCTTTGTGATCTTGTCTTATGCTTTTCATAAGCGTTGCCCTTTTCGTATGGGACGAAGTAGAGAAATTGAAGCACTTGATTATATCTAAGTTTTCTTTCTAATGGGTTTGCATGTAAATGTGAAAACGCTCCAATAAGACACACTTGGAGCTTGTCTAACAGATATCGCAACCAAACACTCAGAAAAATAGCCAGACAAAACAAATGAGAGCGGGGAAACAACACTTGATTTCAGGAGAGTATATCAGCGTCCTAACGGTCTTCGGTTGCTTAGTTTCCATGGGAACCTGCAGATGGATGAGGGATGTGTTAGATGGCCGCAAACTAGAACAGGGAGAAGGATGAATAAAAATGCCGAAAGCTTACTCTGTAGTTGTCTCTCTTAAAAATGAGCGTCGATGCATTTTGAGGTGAGTCCGAGATTGATAGATCCATCCTACAATATTTTGACATGTAAATCAATCGCCAGTAGAATCATAAAGGAAAAGTCTGGTGGCTGCTACTGACTCCTCTAACAGTTCCCTTAGGACAACATTTGCCCTTTGCTTGCACTCCTTGGCAGTTATGTATAGCCCCAGAAGAGTGTGGAATTTGGTCTGTTCAAAGCCACGTCAGTCTGGTCGACTGCAAGAGCGGTTCGCTGATCTACTGGTAAGAAGAACACGACTCACAACTACCATCTTGGTTTAGACAAAGTTCGACGGGCCAGGGGTCTTTACAATCCCAAGCAGCTGCGAAGTTGCAGATCACTGCCATCAAGGTAACGGTGGCCAAGAAACGCATGATGTGAAGGTTGGATTGGGTACAACTGGGTCAAAGAGGTTTGCTTTTGGATGTGGTTTGGTGGTTGTGGTGGAAGCTGGTGTTGATGGGTGGGATGAGGGAAGGTCGATCAAAGGTGCCAAAACCCTCCAGCTTTATAGCTTTCGACACGGCCGCTCTGCTGCTTGCCGTATGTCTGTATCTCCAAGATATCTTTCTTAACAACTTCAGCCTGGCAAATACGTATGTATCGTCGGCGTCCTGGAAAGAAGAACGCATGCCAGTTGTACAACATATATGTATTGCAAAAGAGGTAGCTATAGAATAGATCAGAGGCGGCTCATCTTCAAGCCTCTTTTTTATTCGAACATTGAAGCCTTCTGGAAGAACTCTCAAAGAATCGAATCACGCAGAATCACGCGTCGCTGTGTTGTAGAACCAGGGCGCTTTATCAAGAAGTACGCACATTGTGTTGGAGGCTGAGGCCCAATGGCGAGCCAGAGCAGCAGCCCCAAGTTTGTATTGAAGGCTGATCATCTTACGGAAGTTTATAGGTGAGGTGGGGCTTACACAACACGTAAATCGTTCTACGGAGGCCCGAGAGACCCTTCGTGAGTTGTTGAAGTCGGCAGGCCTGCAAGCTTGTATTAAGGCCCGACTTACGGAAGTCCACTGGTGAGATGACGCGTGAAAGATAATTGCTTCGGAGGCCGAAGCTACAATGAGCAGGCAGCCCAAGTTTTTTTGTATTATAATATAAATGTCTATTGGTGGAAGTCCACTGCACACGATGGCGGGGGGGGGGCATAAATCGGGCCAACTCCCAACAGCAACGGTAAGGCCCTTTCCCAGTCTGCTGGACGCGAGGCAGAGTAGATTTCACTGCAGAACAAAAAATCCACAGCCAATTGCCGCCTCGCAATTGGGCTTATAATGATGGAAACATTCTCTAGATGGAAGGCTTTTATGCGGCCATATGCCACAGAAGTCCACTGGCAAGATGGGGGCTTGATTATTTCGGTGGCAGGCCGAGGCTATGGACAGGCAGCCCAAGTTTTTGTTATTTGTACGTTCAGGTACATACAAAATAAAATAAAATATGTAAGGCTTGTCAACGGCAAGGCGGAACCTTTCGAATTTCCAGTCTGTTGGCCGCGGAAGAATCGATTTCGCTCCTGGAGAACAAAACTTAAGAATCAATCACCGCCTCGTAATTGGGCTTCATGATGGAAGCATCGTTCTTGTGCGTCAGCTTGTCCAGATACATACATAGCAGGCTTTCCAGCCATATTGATGTGGTTTTTATATCGGCTATAGCTAAGCACAGCCTCTGAGCCTCCGTCTGTTTCATTCAAAAGTCAACATCACCAAATATTAAAGACATAGTGATGCAAGCTTATCTAGAAGCCATGGTGCCCACTGCCAACAAGGTGACCTGGCAGCCCTGAGGCTTGCTGTACTTTGGCAATGCGCGTCGCTGTTGCGATCATCGGAGGCGTCGCAATTACCACTATGCATACATCTGTATCCCGAAGTGATCGGTCACAACTTTGACTTTGGGATCGGCGATGGGATCGGCGCCGGTAAAGGAAATGTTCAAGGAGGACGCTTCGGGAGCAATCAAACACCAGGAAAACTTGGCGTGTGTCATCACTCTTGGTTCGTCTTTCAATCGTCCTTGAAATCAATCAATCTGATAACACATTCCATCAAAATTCTCTGTGTATTCAGGTCTGAGATCAACAATCTTTTGTTTGACTTCTTGTATCATGAATTTGAAAGTGGCTATGCATATGTAGGGTCATTTTAGAAAGCTATCCAGCATGAATTTGGCAGAATCAATGAATTTTTTTATCACGTTACATACCTGGGTGGTTGTGAGATCAGGGTGCAAGAGAATTTTGTTATAAGGGTCGGATGGCGTAATTTGGAACCGCACGAGTCATCTTAAAAGCAGGTTTCTTCATCTGTTTTGCTGGTCATGGAGGCCTACAAGTTTCTTGCTACTAATCTTGTCCTTGATCCAACAACTGCGCTACACTTTTTGACCAAACAGTGTAGCGGGGTTTTTTGCGCCCAGAGATTGTGTAGTGACGTGTTAGCAGTTTTTTGCTACATTACAATAGGGGGGTTCACGGTTGAGCTTTAAGGCCATTTTGAAGGTGTTTCTGATCATAAATTTATAATTTTTTTGTGATGTACAGAAGGTTCAGAAATCAATAAATCAGAAAAACTCAAAAAATTTGTAAAATGTTGCTCATAAACACCTTAAAAATCACTCTAAAGTTCAATCGTGAACCCCCCTAATGCACTACCAACCACTACCAGGGCCAATATGCTGCTAACCAGCTCATTAGTGTAGCATAGCTGGACACTTTCTGAGGGCCTGCAGTTATAGTGTTAAGGGTGGACGCAGCAGAATTGCAATATGCTAGCAATGCGGCAGAATTCTGCACTAAATTTTAGCTGAATTCTGCTGTGTTATGTTACACTAACACTAGCATAACTGGCCCACCGTTGCTCAGACACAGAAGAGTCAAAACCCAGAGCCAACATGGAAGTGATTCTGTAGAGTTGGTACTCCATCTGATGGAGGCCTTGTTGAAGAGACCATCAATTAGACAATGGGGGACCCAAGAATGGGCCATGAGTTACACTAACTGTGGTGCTAGTGTAGCTTAGTAAAATTCCCCTAAAAATAGTGTAGTGTAGTGGAATTCTGCCACATCTGCACTAACACTACAAGCACAGGCCCCCAATATTTGCCCAATATGCTGTGCCAATGCGCTGGTTATTGGCCCTTTGGCCCTGCAGCAGCTGTTAGTGGTCTGTAGTGTAGTGTACAGTTGCATGTGGCATTCTGCTGCTCTTGGCTGCCTGCAAAGGCTGACTTGCACTACCCCCAATGGGGCATCAAATTGCTTGAAAAGTACATTTTGGGATTGCTTAGGCCGCGTTTGGCTGCCCCATGATTTGTGATTTGTTATAGGAGTTTTTCCCCAGGGGGCCAATCAGACATCCCAAATTTGGTGCAACAATCAGGTTTTGGGGGCCCAATTTGTATCATGGGGGTTGCCCAAATCACAAATAATGGGGCAGAAAAATGGGGCCTTATTATTCAAATCTAAAGGCTTGTCAAGATGGAGCCAGCCATTTTTTCTTTTTTGGTTTTCTATGCATGGCCATTTGGACTGATGGCATCTTAGCAGCCTAGAAACCCATAAGTATGGAATAAAGGCATCACATAAACCCATATATATGGCTTTATGTTATGTATCTAGCCCATAATTATGGGTTTCTGGTGGAGCCAATTTTTCCACATTTTTGATCCTCAAACTTTTGGACCTAACAAAAGTCATGTACAGCAGAATGCCACACATGACTGTAGTTACAAAAGCACACTGAAATTGCGCTAACACTACTCAGTTTCCACACAAAATAATCTGCTACTCTAATGCATTTTGGGCAAAAAGTGTAGTGGCCTACTGTTGCTAGAAGTTACAGCTAAGAATGCAACTAACACAATTTAGGGACTGGATACTTTAGTTATCCAGATAAAACAAAGCATCAGGGATTGTTCTTCACTCTCTCTTGAAATTGGGTTGGGAAAAAATTCTTTTAGTCAATTCATTTCTTTTAATCATTTGATCTGTGGCCCATTCTTCAGCTAAAATGTTAGCTGAATAATGGGCCACAGATCCAACAATTAGAAATAAACAACTTGACTGAGATTATTTTTGTTCCACCCAATTTAATCAAGAGGAAATGATAATCCCTGAGGCTTTAATTTATCTTCAGTCTGTAACTTGTGTTAGTTGCCATTGTAAGCTGTAACTTTTGCTTGAAGAAGTCAGCTTCTTTGTTTACTGATTGAAGCTCAGTGAATACTTACATCAAGAAATACAAATTATCAGCATGTGCCTCAAAAAGCTCATCAAGCCAAATAGTCACATTTTTTTCTACCCAATTCAAAACCTCTCTGACTGATTCAACAAAGCAATAACACTGGAATGAATAAGACTGTTAAACAGTTTACAAATTGGAATACAGCATTACCTCAATATCAGATCATATGAAAGCTCACCGCCAGGTTCACAGGCTCTGTCAATAGAATGCTATCCTGATCATTATCTATATAGAGCAATTCATCAGTAATCTGTGGATGCATCATCATAGTCAAGATTTATGGATTATGGTGTCCTTTTTTGCCACAGTTGTAAGAGCCAAATTTCTTGGTCTTCACTAGAAAAAGAGTTGGATCGCATTTTTAGCACTAGAAATTTAATCACATTTTGAAAATGCGAGGTGACATTGCATGTGACATGTGATGTGACCGCGCATTTTCAAAATGTGATCCAACTCTTCTTGTAGTGCTTGTAAATTGAGACAGATGCTGTGCCATTGTGTCCAAATTGATCCCTGGGTCATGTAACAGAGAGCTTGTGTGCCTCAAGAGCACCAATTGTGTTGTCAAGAATCACTTTTTTAGGCAAGTAGATGAGGTGATCACAGATTCTTTTGCCCAAATTGTCAAGGCCTCACAGAAGTCAATCACAGACTTGTTGATTGGACAGAGATATTTTTGCTGTGTTGAGGTCTGATGCCTCTTTTCGGATCCTGGCAATCCATTTTGAAATTGATAATTTTTTTTGTGACAAGTCATCCCAAACTTAACACAAGTCCCTCCCTGTCAGGGAGGGACTTGCATGTAAGATTGCTCATCTGGGCTGAGGTCATCCAGCCAAATGGCCTGATAAATCACAAAACACCTCATCTTCCCCATAAGATCATGGTTTCTAAGCAAGCCGCTGAGCCTACAGATATTTATGATTTTTCTCTTTTTTTCCATGCCATCACTTTCCTACCACTCCTCTCCAATCTGTAGATATAGTGGCTAATAAAAAATGAAAAATCCACATTGGTTGGACGATGACTGGATATTTCCCCACTCATGTCCGGTCTCACACTCTTATGACAGCCATGACAGCTATTGGATTGTTAGTGCTCTAGTGTCCGGCTGACATTTCTCTACTGCTACCAAAAACCTCACTGACTCCTTTGAACTACACTGTGACATATCCTATGATTTCTTATCCAATCATGCAGGTAGGATCCAATGATCTGAAGCTTGCAACAAAAAGATTTAATATTGTTTTTTGCATGTTTTGGCAACTCACAAACTGAACTCCTTAGAATTGAGGTAGAAGGCTCAGTTTTTGTCATATCATCAAGATTTTTTAAAAAACGGTGACCCAAATGCCAGGCTAACAATATGCAAAGTCAGATTTATCAAAAAAGACAAAGTGTGTAATGCACAGAGGTTTGAAGTGAAAAACCAAGAAAATTGCCTTCCAAACCTTATGACCTCAGGATGTGAGGTTGATTTGTCATGTAAGCCTCTCCTTTGGAGAGTGTCCCTTTGGAAGCCAGCCAGAAGTTATCTTGAGCTGTACTCAACAAGCTTGTGTTTTCTTCTCATATGCATCCACAATCATGGAAAACAAATTAGAAGCCAGTTTTACATTGCCATAACGTATTGAAAGGTCAACAGAGAGTATTAGACTGATTGTTGACCAAGCAAACTTTGATAGAGCATCCCAATCCATGAAAAATTCTTGGGGTTGTACCCTTTTTGGTCCAGGGAATGACCAATCAACTTGCTGTCCTTATTGTTGGAGGGACAAAGTAGTGACTTGACAACAATATTGAGAATATTCATAATTGCTAGAACATCATAATCTCTAGAAAATCATAATTTCTAGAACATCATAATTGCTAGAACATCATAATTGCTAGAACATCCAAAAGTTGAGAGCGCCAGGCTGCTAACACAACCAAATTTCTGTTCAGGATGAGGACTGTAGGGATAAGGTGAGAGGGGATATTGAGAGTTCTCAGAGGCATGGTTTGCAAATTTGAAGTTGCTGAGTCAAAAGAAAAAAAATCAAGTTTGAGATCAATGATATTCAAAATATCAGGTACTAGAGCAAAGAATGGGCCATAACCTATTGAGGCAAACACAGGTAAGTGGGATTTAGTCACAGACTATCTGTGACAGGTGAGACTAATCAATAAGATAAGTTATGTTTATATTCACCAAGGAAAGAGAATCACAATGTGGAACTGAGTGAGGAATCACAATGTGGAACTGAGTGAGCTAAATACAACTAGGTTGAGGCATACCACAGTACAAGCATCACAACACCCCTAGCCGTAAAGACTGTACAGTCTCAACTCAGGGTGTAAATGGGTCGGGGCAAACCAAGACCCAATGGGTAATGGGTTGGTTTTGGGCAGAATTTGTGAGAAAATCACATGACCTGAACCCAACCTGGAAGCTTAGCAGGTCAGGTTTGGGAAGGTGTTTTGATAGTTGGGCAGGTAAGTTTTTATCATATTTGCTCTACAATGGCTAAAACACTTGGGTCGGCCCAAACCCAACATGCAAACTGCCAACCCAAACCCAGAAAGTCCCAAGACGGGTTGGGGTCTGGGCAGCATATATTCAAGTTTGACCCAACATAGGTGTTGGGTTGGGTTTGGGCACTGTTTTTGGGCCCAAACCCAACCCGCTTACATCCTGAGTCTCAACAGCAGGGTGGAAACCCTCACCTCCATGAAGACTACACAATAGGGGGTATCAAATATGGAAAATTTGAAATCTTAAAACCTCATTATCTGTTAAACAAAACCACCTTTTTTGATGGATATATTTTGGAAAGAAGCACATATTTGCCTTTGAAATTCATCACAGCACACTTTTCAAAAAAACTTTTTAGTTCAAGAGTAAATGGAGTTTTATTTTTTCAAATTTCTTATATTTGATACCCCCTAATCCCTCTCCCCCATCAAGATGGCACCTTGATGGATCTGGCCCCACACCAAGTCCTTCTGGATCTTTGACATGATATTTTTTATGTATATTTTGCTGTATTATGCCAAAAGAAGGGGGTTGAGCAAGAAAAGTCACAGTGAACAGCTGTCCCCGTCTGGGGTGTATAAGGGGATTCCCCATCAAAACCCCTGAGATTTGGGGGTTTTCAGAATCTGACCAGATGCCAGATTTCCCAAGGCCAATCCAAAACCCTGATCCAGTCCTTGGGTTCAGCGGGTTATGCCACATTTTCAGTGTCCGGGTAGGAACCCTAATTGGGACCAAGGATTGTAAACCCAATCATGTGACACATCACTCCTAGATGTGAATGTTGCACAAAATCACTCCTATATTGTATGAAAGCTTGTCAACACCACTCTGACATGCTTCTGAGTCCTGCCTCAGTTGATTTATTGACTGCCCGGTGGGGCAGAGAAAACCTCCAAGTCCGTATTTTTACTCAATAGGGACCCAAAAATACAGACTGCAATGGAGATGCTCTCACCTGGGTCCAACCAGGTGGTGAAGTTATGCACCCTCATTGACCAGGTGGCTTGGACTGAAATTGTATCCCCACACTGAAGAAACTAACTGCTTGAGCCTTGAACAGGGTTTCTTCAATGCGCAGTCTGCAACTTAAACCAAGCAGAGTTCAAGGTTTTTCAGACAAAGTCTGTCCAATAACAGCTCAGACTAGGTTGGGTTGTGTAGCCTTCCCTTTTAGATATTAATACCTCCAGCCTAGTTTAATTGATTTCCCTCCTCCTCAGTTCACTCATTGACCACATCAGCCCCTCAAAACTTTGTGAGATGGGTTAAATGTTTGGGAATTTCTAGTGGGGAGAGTGGGAATTTGGATCTGATCAAAAAAAGAAACTGTAGGTGTAAGCCCTGGTCTGTGTGATTGGATTCTCTAGTCTCAACTTCAAGTGATTGGGTTTTATCCTTTGCAGGTATTTTCTTGAAGAGGGAGAATTTGCTTGATTATTCTCAAAGGTAATTAAGTGACCATAACCATTGTGCTGATCTAGTTGTGTGAAGTGAACACTTGGGTTAATTCTGGCGAGGTCTGTTTCATGGCATTCAAGATTCCTTTCAAATTCATTCAGATTTGACATCTGTTTAGCAAACGTTGATCAAAGTGCCCCAGAGACGATTGAAGATGTTTGCTCTTGAAGTATCCTTGATGGTTGTGGAGGAGGTGGTGCTGGTCTGTCTGTACAGATAAATACACAGCGGGATCACTTTTTTGATTCCGAGACGTTGGATTTGTCATGATGGTGGAGATCACATCGGATCCAGCCTTCAGGACGTTAACAACCACATCGGTTTTGTCCTCATGTAGCCTACGACGTTAACACAACACTGAACGACGCAGGTGTTGTGAACACGTCTTCACCAATGTCAACAATGACAACACAGGCTCCCCTGTCAGAGAACAGGGCCATTGTTTTTGATGTTGCAGTGGAAACCACATCGGATTCAACAATCCGATTTGATCCGCTGCTCACCCCATCTTGACCAGGGCGGCACAGATCGGTTCTTCTGCCCGACTCCCTGCTACAACGTCGTGAACGACGTCAAATTATTATTTTTTTCAAGACGTCACAAATGTGTCTCAAGTGGGTTTTTTTACCCTGAAAATTCGAGAAAATTGATCATTGAAAAAAAAAAAAAAATTGTGATGAAAGAGGGGACTTAGAAAAAAAAAAATTATTGACTACACAACTGAACGACAAGGAGGTGGTACTAAACCTGTAAAACTCGCCTCTCAGTCAGCGAGTGGTTTGTAGTAGGATCGGCTAAGATGGCCGCTGTCGTTGGCAACGTTGCAAGGGATCGATTCCCGTGCTAGATTTCTTTTGCTGCCAGCAACAGCCCATAATACTGCAAGCTCGGTCTGCTTTCTCATCCTCATTTTGAGGGATGAGATAGTTGGCTTTTGATGTCCAATTCTCATCATCAACAACATCTTGGCCAACGAGGGCTGTGATGCAAAAATGATGTAGGGCATGGGTGGATGTCATTTCACATCTAATTTCCCATTCAGTGAATGATGTCGATTCGACATGAATTCCACCGACGAGGTGGCATCGGGGTGAGCCCGCTGTGTATGTACATACAGCTGGAGAAACTTGACTGCTGTCACCGAGGTTGTATGTATGCACCGGCAGCTGGGATATAACACCACGATCTGATTGGAGCATTCTCACCTTGCCCCACTTCGACCCTCAAAACCCACTTCGTGTCTCGTCTTTGTACCTTGGACGGTGATTGGTCAACAGTAAGCGGTATTCTTTCATCGTTTTGTAAATCTCTGAATGCTATCGTCACACAAACCAAGCATGCTAACCTACCCTTGATTATCGTCTGTGCGGTGTGCGGTCCAACCTGTCAAGATTGTCTCGAATTACACCTTCCCTTATCTCTTCGTTGCGACTTGGCTGGTCATGAAGGTTCGTCATCCATCTTGGTTCTTCCGTTTTCAACTCCTTGTCTCCGCCGCTTGATTTTGTTGTCTGCAAATCACCAATAGCTTGATGATCGATATCAAACCAGCTGATTCCTTGACCCAATTACCCGACAGTTCGGAAAACAACTTCAAGCTCAACAGATTCCTACCTGGACCGCGTATTATCTGGATTACAAGGGGCTCAAAAAGGTGCGATTGACCGCTCTACGGTCTGCTTTCCCCTTGTCACATCCCTCTTTCTTTTTCTCCCTCCCCATCCTCCTTCTCTCTATGAGTCTCCACTTTTGAATTGTGTCGGGGTGGACGCGCCTCAACCCCAAGATATTCTCCGACAGATCATCAACTCTCTGGCCAAAGGACGACCTGCAGATGCGGCCCTTCTAGCTGCTGGCATCTCCCCCGCTATCGTCACTTCAACTGCCACAAACTCACATCAACAATTAGCCGCAGATCAGCAACTTCAACTACTTCCCGAATCCTACAATGATCCCAGAGCGAGTCCCGAGAACAACTTGAAACTGCACAAGGCTGCCTTCTTTTTTAAATTGGAACGAGAACTCGAAAAGGTTGGAATCCATCATGCACCTTTTCCTCTTTCTGCGGTTTCTAACATGTGATTTTCCTTGCTTCGCAGATCAATGAATTCTATTTGCAAAAAGAATCCGATCTCAAGGTTCGGTTGAGAACATTGATCGACAAGCGCAAGGTCGTCCAATGTAGTCGCACTCGCAGATTGACTAAGGACAATTCAAGTTTTGCAACTCTCTATGAAGGATTTCGACATTTCGAGGAACATCTCCGGAAGCTTCAAGCTTTCGTCGACATCAACCAGACCGGATTTCGCAAGATTCTGAAGAAGTGGGACAAACGCTCAAAATCCAGTACTAAAGAGCTATACCTTTCTCGCCAAGTCGAAGTTCAACCGGTGTTTAACCGTGAATGTATTGCCGAATTGAACGATGCAGTCGCAGCAAACATACTCGAATTGGAGGAACTTCTCGTCGACTCTGAAGATCGACAGCCCCGCTCACATGCATCTGATCCTAGCGCCGATCAAATCTCAACCGATTGGAAACAAGTACTTGACCATCCAGGCTCACAGCGAACAGCTCCTCAAACCGCAGTTGAAATTGATATTATTGAATTTGAAGAACTAGAAACTAATCTTATTCAAGCCGTCAAAGCCGACAATCGTGAGCAGGTTGCGGAGCTATTGCATCTTCTGCCTCTTCCTAGTTCCCCTCTTGAACAAACAACATCGGTGCGCAGCAGATTGGGCCGAATACTATGGAAAGCCGCTCTCAGCGTCGAAGAACCACAGGCACAAGTCGTCTCCAAAAGTCACAGTGCTCAAGGTAGTAGCAATCGCATTACCATACTTACTCCTTCGACTGCCATGGTCGAAAATGACTTGATCCCATCATCTCGGCTCGATTTCTCTTTCGTGGATGATATTAGCGGTCGATCATGTTTGCACGAGGCTGCTAGTGCCGGTCGCACTAGATTGATCCGTCAAGCCATCGAGCACAAAGTTTCTGTCTCAGCTCCCGATGTTTACGGTCGACAGCCCTTGCATTATGCAGCCATGAATGGTTTCGCGCAGGCCTGTCAGTTACTACTGACCTACAATGCAGATCCATATTGCCTTGATCACGATGGCTATACACCATTGATCTACTCAGTCACGAAAGGTCGAGTAGATTGCGTACGGATCCTACTCGATTCAGGCATCTCGTTGGAGCCGGTCAGACATGCTGGTCTGCTTCCTCTCTCACTAGCATGTCAGCATGGTCACGGGGACATCGCTTTGCTTATGCTCAAACGTGGCAGCCAGGTTCTTGCCAATCAGGAAGGAATGTGGCCTCAGCACTTGGCCGCACGCGAAGGGCATGCGGCATTGTTACGACTCCTGGCGGATGCTGGCGCGAACATGGACGAGCGGGACACGTTTTCTCAATGGACTCCACTGTTTCACGCGGCAAGTGAAGGACACGCCGAATGCGTCGAGGCTTTGATCGCTTCAGACTGCGATTGTCAAGTTTTGGATGAAAGTCGCAAATGTCCAATTCATTATGCTGCTTGGCAAGGTCACATTGGTTGTGTCAACTTACTACTTGCTAAGCAAAGATCTACGCGGTTGACCGGGATGGTAAAACAAGATAGTGAAATGACGGCCGGACCCTCGACTGGTACTCAACGCGCCCCGTCCGCTCCCAATGGGGCCTTACCTTCTGAAGGAATCAAATCCGGCAGCTTGATGACGGGCTCGTCTACAGGAATTGAGCCGGCCGACGCCGATGTGGACTTAATACCTGATCTTTCACTTCCACCGCCCATCATACCATTCAGAATCTATGGTCATAATTACTTGGACAAGAAAGCGTTAGTGCAGCTTTACCTTGGACATCCGAACACGGCTCGATCAACACGTAAAGCGATCCAGTTATACGGACAACCTGAGCTCACATCCCTGAAGCTGGTCATTAGCAACCGTTCGGATGTATCATCGGTGGTCCATAGTACGATTCTACCACTTGATTATGAACGTGAATCCTTCTCCTTCCACACAGATAGTGTCGATCACTTTGCATTGGAATTCGAGCTGTTCCCTACATTTGGAACCAAGATTATGGGCAAGGCGGTTGGTCTGCCTTCTAACTTCGAAGGTCCCTGTAATCAAAAGCCTTGTGTGCTACCACTCCTGGATAAATACCTCAAGGTCATTGGTGAGGTAGCATTTGAATTGAATGTTATAAGGCCGTTCCGAGATGTACAACTATCATTTGGAGGAAGGGTTGAAACCTACTGGAAAGCCATGACCAACTTTTCGGCTTCAACCATTCAAGGTGACTCGCCAATGGGATCCCCCTTTGGGACGCCATCCATCAATCTCGCATCGAACGCCTTTGTAACCGCTTCGTCTCTTTCTGGCAAGTATGTTCAGGTAGCCGTCCAAGTTACTCGTGATGGCGTGCCCGTCGTGTATTCCGGTACCACTCTAAACGTTCATGGTTTTGAAATTCCGATGTACAATGTCACGATTGCACAATTCATGAAGCTTGCCAACGATCTTTCTCGAACGTTTGATAGTTGCTCACTTCCTTCAGACGATGAATCGCCCCACCATTGGCACGAATTCCTAAAGAACAGCATGGTAACATTAGAGTCGGTTTTGGAGCGCCTACCGATTAGCTTGGGACTGGATCTTGAGATCGGGGATCCAGGTATAAGCCAGCATGGCTCTTTAGACTTAAACACCTTTGTCGATGCGATTCTGAAAACGATTTACGACTCGACCGCTAAGACGACTCCTCAAAACCAGTCTCACAGACGTCGCAGACGACGACTCGTCTTATCTTCCTTTGAGCCTTTGGTGTGCACTGCATTGAATTGGAAGCAACCAAATTGTATGTAACATGCATTATTCCAAGTGATTTGTTAGTTTAACAAGGGAACAATTCAGCATCCTGATTCTTGCTCCCATCTCTCCGCTTCTGCTTTCAAGATGCAGTATTTTTCGCGTCCGATTGCGGGGTGTCTGGATGGAATGAGTCGACTGGCCAACTCCTAACACCATCTGGCTCCGCTATTGAAACAAGTACATGTCATGGTAATTACGAATTGGATCGACGGAGACGAAGTATTTTGGAAGCAGCAAAAGTGGCTAAAGCAAATAACTTGTTAGGAGTTAGACTGAATGCGACATTGCTGGTAAGCTGAATCACATTACTTTTTGGCCAACAAAGCAAGCACTTTTGTTAACTTATATGTAACCGCTTCTTCTTACCCCCTTTTTTGCCCAGTTGAGAGTTCCATCCTTGATCCAAAGTACGAAAGAAATGGGATTGCTACTGACCAGTTTTGGGCCTGAAAGTAAAGAATCTATTGGCCTGGGAGTTGACGGTTATATGTCCAGTAGTGGCGTATTTGAATACGCTTCTCACGTAGAACCTGATTTGATTGAATCTTAACCTTGTCCTTGCTTCTCACCATGTTCATACTCATTTTTTTTTCTCCTGCTACCAAACAAAAGGAATGATAAATTTTATTTCCAAAATTTATCATCCTCTGGTCTACACAAAAATATACTTGTTATGTAAACAAGAGATCACAATCGATTAGTAAAGTTAAATCATCAACAAATCGCAAGCCATTGACTTTTTGTTCCTGCTTCAGGAAACTTTAATGACTCAGTAGTATGTACCACAACCCATGATTGTGCAATTTTCCATCAACCTCTCGCAATTAAATGGAATACTATGCACCAGGCCGACAAGTGTGATAGCCATTGGGCACTTCTGACTTGGAGTGGCTACACAAGTCTCCGGAAGATATTTACATCTGTACTTCAATGTGGATGCTATGTATGTCATGGCACTCGCGAGGCCACGATTCTGATGATTGGCCACTAATGATGAGCGCCTGGAGCTCGCCGTACTATGATCTATCCAGTTGGTTAAGTTAACCGCCAAGCCAATTCCCCAATTCCCATAGTATCTTGATGGCCGGCTACTGTTGGCTTTCAACGCCCAGTTGGCCGGTTGTTGGGTTCACCCGACAAATGAAAAAAAAAGCATCGGACTGGGTCCAACTTCGGTCCTTGCAGTCACCTTGACATTGCTGCAACGCGTTGAACAATGAATATGGCAAATATTAAAAGTAGTGACTGGCGATCCCGGTTTCCAAAGCAGACACAGAAGAAACAACGTCCCTGGATTGGCACCAAACATAACGATTGTGCTCCCGTAGTATACTCACAACAAGCAATTCATTCGATCAGGGTTTCGTAGTCACGAAAGCAAATTGTTTGCGAGATCGGCAGTCGGAAGGATTGAGTTTCAGATTCAAAGATGAATTTTCATTTCTAGTCACTATGTAGAAACAGCAAGATGAATTACCTCAAGCCGTCGATGCGAACACTGGCCCGAGTTGCTCATCAACATCATGCACAATCGTTCCCATGATACAAAAACAAGCAAGTCAACTCTCAGCAAACCGAGAGCTCTTATTTAAGTCCGTCATGATCCATGAGCTTCCTTCTCTCTACGCTTTCCCTACCACACACATAATCTAGCGTCCTTGAAGGGTAACCGATCAACCTTTTCACTTTCACTTCTCAATCTTCAATCGCAAAGTTCCTCGAAGGAACTAAATATATCTATACACATCGCGAGTGAGACGGGTGGAACTCATACCCATCAAATCCAACCTCTTTTCTGTGAGAGGATGATGCTGTTATCAATATCACTCTTAGTTTCCATGTGGATCATTCAATCAGTGGATTCTCGCAGCCTAGCGCACATTATCACGAGGGATGGGGAAACCCACCGATTCACTAAAAGGGCTAAGCTTATCCCTAATCAGACATATGTACAAATCCAGGTACCTTCTTTCACTAAGACATTCCCTCCCCTCCTTCCACTATCATTTTTTTATAGATATGCATCGAAATTTGCTTGAAATGATTGCTGTATTTATGACTAACTCGTGGAATTATTTGGTGTGCTGATAAAAACAGATCTCTGATGGACCGACTGGCAAATGTGGAAAAAAGGCTGAAGATAAATTCTTGAGCGTTTTTGGCTTAACGCAAGCGCAACTGATCAAACAAAACCCTTTCCAAGGCCCGATTGATCCAATCGACTTGAAAACTTGTAACCAAATGACCAGGTTGGCTGTTGATGCTGAACAAGGTTTCAACAATGCAATTGGTGTAAGCCTTGCCAAAACTTCAAACTAGTTTCTTGAATCATGGTGACTGATCATCAGTTGTTTTTTTTTTCTCCTCACTAGAACCAAAGTACAAAATTTGGCATAGGAAAACAACTTGACAATGGGAAGGTAAGCTGTCTGCTACTCCTTTGAAATTTTTGTCTCAAAAGTGATGCTTACAAAATGATTACTACAATTAAATCTCATTTCAGACATGCAACAAAGTACTTAAACTGACTGGTAGGTATTTAACTGATTTGGTGTATAATTGAATTGATATTCAATCTTCAGAGGAAAATGACACAGTTTTGGTTTTATCTGCTAATTGACTACTATAACTTTGAAGGGACTGTGCTAGGTCTACAGGTAAGATTTTGATCAATCATCACTCATACCAATGACCTCATGGTGTTCTTTTTATCAGCATTAACAAATCCTTTCACCAATCATTCTTCTGAAAGATGGAAATAAAACTTGGGAAAGCAGATGCAACCCGACTGAGAAAGCTGGCCAATGAAATCAACAAGTCAGTGATTAATGCCAGCCTCATCATTCCTCACAATTAACCTGAGCTCTTCTCATTCAACTAATCATAATCTGTTTGTGGCTAGATTGCAAAAAAATATAGATGCAGATGCCAGAGCTCCTAACCAAAAACAGCGCTCATTTCTGACTTCATAATTAAACTAAATCAAAATGTCATCTCTGGGGTTGAAACCCTTACTATATAATATTGACATGATGGAATTGTCTCCTGGGCTAAATATTCTCATTACATTTGAGTTCCACATTTCCTTTGCCTCTTTTTTTAATCATGCCTTTAAATCTTTAACTTTGAAAAACTGAGTGCTCCTTCCAAAAAAGCTTGCTACTACTCCATTAATTCTTTACCACTTAATTTATAACTCAATCAGTTTTTTTAAAACCCAAGATTTTTCTATTTCTGTTTGAAATTTAAAACAGTCACAGACATTTTTGATTGAAATAGTTGTGTTGTGTATTAAGTTGTCCATCAGTACAATCTATTGCACTTTTAAATATTGAAGTAAGTTGACAAGAGGGAGAAGATAAGCATACAAACAATATCTGAATTTTTCAAATGAGACAGTTACCTGCTCTCAATTTAGTGAGACAAAAATAATGATGATTGTTGACTGCCACTTCTGCATAATACACAGACCCCAAACTCCTCAGTGTCATGTTTTACACTTGATGCAACAACAAAAATGATGAACATGGTATTCACAGACTGGAAGGATGAAAAAATTGCTGCATGTACAGTCTCCTCCCAGATGTTTATAGCCATCTGTTTTCAGCTCCACACCAGGACCCCAAAAACTTCAAGTCACAAGAGTTTGTGGAATGGTGGAAAACAGGTCTCAAAGAATGAATATGAAAAAAATAATAATAATAAAAACAAGATTATAAAATTTTTGGAAAATAAAAATGTAAAAATCACAAAAACTGACAGCTCTAATATTTATTTCAGGAAAATATGAAATCTCATAAATCATAGTATGAGATCTGGAATGAACAATAAGAAGTGAAAATTTGGAAAAAAATGACTGCTTGGTGGTTTAAAAAGGGTGCCTAGGGGGTCATTCATCAAGAAATGTAGCATTCTGGTACCACAATCTACTAATTTTGACTGCACTGGCAGGGTGTCCACCCACCATACTCAAACTTTTTTTGGATCAATATTTTTCATTTATAATCATTGTTTTCATTTTCCAAACTTTCCCTCTTTGTGATCACTTCACTCAAACAAAAAATTAAAGTGTTCAAAAAAAGTTGATTTTCTTTTATCTTTTTCACAAATTTTAAAATCTTGTTTATTATTATTATTTTTTTGTATTCATTCTTTGAAACCCATTTTTGACCATTCCACCAACTTTTGTGACTTGGAGTTGTTGGGCTCCCTGTGTGGATCTCAAAAAAGATGGCTATAAACATCTGGGAGGAGACTGTACAAGGCCATCTTAGACCATGCAATGGTTGATGATCCAAATATTTGGAATTTTGAAAATTTGGTTATCTAGATCAGAAAACATGCAAAGAGACTGTTCATTTAGCAGTTCAGTTTCTCTTTATAAATATCAGCCCTACCTCTTCAAGATTGGAAAGCCTTAACATACATAAAATACTTGTTTGGTTTTCAGGAATGCCTCTCTAAATCTCAAAATCTGGAAAATTTTGAATTTGATATAAAGATTACACATGTAAAAGGAATTGAAAACAGGTGAAAAGAATTTGCGGATCTAAATTTTTTGTTTCTGATTTCCATAGAAGCCTTAAGAACTATCATGAACATTCAAACCAATCCAAATCAAACTACATTCAGGAGAAATTCTTTGAAAACAGATCTGCATAGATTTAACACAACTCTGGAAAAAGAATATCTACCCAAATTTATTTGAGATTGCCAAAATAAAATTCAGATGTGCTTATTTTGATAAACTGACACTTGGTTTGATAAATTCAAGCACCTTTTGGGGCATTTTGATCTCGAGCTCATAGATCTGACCTTCAATTCCTCATGGAATTTACCTGAGATCAGCTAGAATTAATTTACACATGATTTCTCTTTCACAGAGCACTGTCGCTGAGTCGGTTGATAAGAATTTGTTTAATTGTGTTCTGTTTTGAAGCCTATTTTCGCATAAAAACTAGACACCTGTCAACAACCGCTTCCAAGGTAAAAGGAAAGAAAGGATTGGAGCCAGTGCTTGAAACTGAATTGATGACGCGAAGAACGACCAGAGCAGAGAATTTTCAGGCTAAGGGCCACCCAGCGTATCGATTGCTCCCAGGATTATGGTGCGTATTTGCGACCTCCAATGTCACTGAGAAAGAAGAAGCAGCGCTCGATATGACTCTGAGAGGCTCTAGTCTACTCTAACCTATGAATTATTCAATGTGTTCATTTACAAATCAGCTTTTTATCGACGTCTTGATACCCACCTGGCAACCTATATGACTGGCGGCTTCAACGATGCGCATGTTGCAACAGTTCTATTCCCAGGTAATAGAGGACCAACCCGTGGCACCTTGTCAGCGCAAAATTATTCTGCAAGGTTTGGGTCGCAATGAATAAAGCACAGCAGTTTCATTGAAGCTAAATCCCCCGATTTGGATGACAACTCAAGAGACACACAGCTCGAGGTAACCAAAAATTTCCTAAGGACGGAAACATTTAATGGAGTTGAAAGTTTATATATCCTTCGTTCATTAGTTTTATCGCACGTATGTATTCATATCATGAGGCAAGCACTCACGAGATCCATAGTGGTTGGTCATATCGCTTGTTTGAAAACTAGGACTATAAATTAGAATCTTACTGCATGAAGAGTTCAGGATCGAAATTCCTTCCTCCCGATTTTTCGAACCACCGAGCTCGCCGGCGAAATTTGATTCATAAGTCTCTGGTGAGACCCGTGAAAAACCCACTTATCCACTATTCTAACTTCCTTTCTGTGGAAGGATGAAGTCTCCATTCAAGTCATTTTTAGTTGCTGGTCTCTGTTTCAGCCAATTGTTGGACTGTAGCCCACTATCACATCTTATGTCAAGGGATGTAAATATCCACAAATTAATCAAAAAGTCCATCATCAAAAGACTGGAGTATTCAGACTTTCAGGTAAAAAATCACATCGCAGCCCCTTAGTCTTACGATATAAACCTTGAAACTAAAAGGAAAAAAATTAATGCGTTTCATTCTTATTCTACGGCCATCCACTGACACTACTTGACACTAAATTTCTTTTTCTGTTTGGTGAAAATAGATCTCAGATGGACTTTCTGGGAACTGCTCCAAAAAGGCTGAGAGGGTTTTCTTGACACCATACAACTTAACACAAGTCACCGTACTCAACACAGGGAGCCCTACTCCCATTGGCCCTGTTAATGGTGTTGCTATTGACAAAACCGATTTGGATGTCTGCAAGAAGATGTCACGAGCAGCCATTGACGCCGAAGATAGCTTTACAACCGCGATAGATGTAAGCATGAGAAAAACTTAGGTATTTGCGTGAATCATGGCGGCTGAGTGTATGTTGCTTTTGTAACTAGGAAAGCGGAGGTCCTAAAACAGAACTAGGCAAACAATTTCAAAATGGGAAAGTAAGGAAGTTTCAATCAGTTCATTATAGGATTCTTGAATGGAAAAGAGCAAAACGTGGCTCACAACAAATTTTCTTGACTGTAGATATGCAACAAAGTACTCAAACTAACTGGTAAGTGGCTCAATTTATTGTTTGGTTGAATATTCTTCAATTCGGAAAGGATGTCTAATGAAATCCCCTCGAGTACTTTACAGCGTCTGTGCTATGTCTCCAGGTAGGTCTAAAATTGGCTGTTCATGTATCCACCTAAGATATAACAATGTGAACAGTATTGATGTGAACTTCTACATAATCACTCTGCTAATAGATGGAAATACAGTTAGGGGCAGCTAATTCATCCCGAAGGAAGAAACTAGCCGAGCAAATTACCAAGTGCGTGGCCCATTTCATCTGTAACGGTTATCACAAGTACATACATAGCTTGATCCTCTGCTTATATTTCCAACATCTTTTGACGCTAGACTTGAAGAGACTATTCTTATTGACCAAGCCGCTAGTGGTCAAAAACAACGGTCGGTTGAATTATAAGAAAAATTCTCACAATGGAGTGCAACTGGTACGACCATCAGCACAACGTATCGTCTTTGGATTTATTGCAGCTTTCCAAATTCCTATGACAACATTTTATTTTATTTTTCCATTCCACCCCTTTCTACTCTCCCAAAATCATGTCCTTGACGGCCGGCTCCCCGCCGCCTAGAAAATTACAAATTACAAAATGGCGGTTTTTATCCCTTTTTTTGGAGCGTCCATCGGGATTTTGTATAGCTTTTCCTAGATGGTTCAATTTTATTCAACTGATTTCGCTGCTAACATCATACAAATTTACAAAGACATTGTTATATGTGATAAACTAAAATTGCCTATAACCCTCTACATATGGATTTTTATTCGGAGCGAGTGGAGTTTTATAACCGGCTGGGGGTTTGACAATTGTTTTTCTATATCCTCTTCAGTGGTTCTGGTGTACTGCTGATAGCCAAGTAGTAGAATCTTTTTTCTTTAAATTTATTTTTGTTTCATATTGAGATTCCCGTTCAAGAAAAATTGAGGCCCGTACATGCATAATGATGATCTGAGATTTGTTTTTTTTTTCTACTTTCGTTGCTGCCTTCTATGACCTCTATGAGGCCGGTCCGTTGTCGATAAGAGAGGTTGCTTTTCACATGAGACTGGGATCTTCGGAGATCTTGATTTCGTTTCTCCCGCTTCATCATCGGTGTCCCTGATTCAAATGAGAAATTTTTCAGTGTCATTGCTCCTCATTTTGAGCCAACAATAATTTACTGACTCAGTGTCCGATCGCGTGTCCTCAGGCGCATGTCCTCGGACGACCTTCCACAGGACTTTTAATATCATAAAAAGCCAAATCATTAAGAGTATTTCCAATGCACTCAAGAGGCTCAGGAATGCAATCCATAGCGAGCGACTCGCAATCTGGCCTTTGCTAGGATTCCAAGTAAATTCGATATCTTGCGGTAGGTCTTTGTATATAGCGAAAATTATTCGAAGGAGTACGTAATGTCGGGTGTAAATCCAAGAAAATACGAAGACCAAGAAGGAAGCGTCTCCTACAATCCCGACTTTCAAGTAGTTGAGCATTTTGGCAAACTGGGCACATGATAGCGAGTAGTGAGCTTCTGACAAAGGTGTACGGCAATCGAACAGTATGAAAAGACCTACCGCCAATAGAATATCAGATAAATCCATAGTTGTATGCACCGCCGTTCCTATACCCGTAAAGTTTGTGGCATAACTACCACATACCAGAATAGCCGTGACAATGTGATCTGTTTCGTCGTTCGAGACAGACAGTAATCATCAGTATTCACGAAACACAGTGCTCAGGTGTTGTAAGGGTCAAGCGCAACAGAAAAACAACTTACGTGCAAACATTTGATAATAGTCTTTCCGACGTTTTTCAACCTGTAGGACAACGATTTGCTGGAACCAGAATGCGATTTGAGACAAATAGTAGAACTTGCTTAAGGCATCCAGCGATGTGTGAGGATAACCTTGCCAGTATTGTCGTATATTGAACGAGAGAATTGGTTCGGGGTATGCACAGAGTATTTTCTGGGGGATAAGCGGCATAGCACAATGAGTAAAAATAGTAAACCAGGTTGAGAACATCGTAGAGCTCCTTACAATTCCCATGCACCAAAAAACCGTGCAGTATACCAAAGTCCAACCTTGTTCTGAGAAGCGTTGTAGTTTCTTGCCATTGGTTAGACCCATCCAGGATCCCAGCGGATTCCAGAAGAGCTTCATGAGGAGTTCTCGCAAGCTTAACCAGATTAACACCCAGAAGCTAATGAAGTAGAGGTCATCCCAGCCTTTGTGGTATTTACCAGTTTCGGGATTCAAATATGATAAATGGATTAATTTTGGCAAAGTATTCTGAAGATGCGTGATCTGTAGTAGCGTCGTTTGGCCTATCGACCTCAAAGGTTTCGGTTCATCAGACAGTTTCGGGAAAGCAAGATTGAGAACGACTGTCGCGGTGATGACCAGGAAACTGGCAGCTGAAAAAACCCCATCAGTAAGTAAGTGCTCAGCCTTGTTCGACCTGGGATCACCACATTGACTCTGGCATCTCAACTCAAAGTGTGACGATTGAGCCGGTGATTTTATCTCTTGCAAGAAGAAGACTTACCCAAATGAGAATCTGCGCATTTCTTGGGTGCCGTTCTTGCCATTTGTCAGGAATCTGTTCGGATGATGTTCCTGGACGGAGGTTGGTTCAAAAATGGATGATTGGGAAAGTCGAAGTGATGGATAGAAATCCAAGTAGTTCTGGTAATGAGTTAACCGTGGGGAGTGGTGCTTCTCAAGTTTTCAGCCTGGATGCGGCACGATGACTTCCAAGAGAATGCAGATTTATGTAGCAGGGGAATTGGCAGTGAGAGAAGCCCGGTGGAATGGTGTGATGCGTGTTCTTCAGTGGAAAGGGAGATGGGGTTATGATGCGGAGAGTGCGAAATCGGAAGACAACAGTACGGTTTGAGCTTTCTTAAAAGAAATCTGCCCACGCGTCAAGGACTGCTTCCTCATTGTTGCTCATGACGCATGAAGACCGTTGGCATCAACACAGAGCTCACCGATGCGAACCCTTTCCGAAATTGTCCCTAGACAACTGCGCACAAGAAAAGTGCGGTACTCAGTCGACGGCCAGGCCAGAAATCAGTTCTCCATTGACGTGGCCTTGTTGGAACTTTCGTGACCCAGTCTGGTGAATGCCTATAGAAGCGATACACTTGGCGAGGGTTCCAAATGGAAGTCCCACTCAACAGACAACTTCGGTTCCTTTTCATCCCAGGATACTGCGTCACGCGGCAGTTGAGACCATCGCCAAGGCATAATCCTTATTATCGCAGTCCGTCCGATAGTGAGTACAACCCTGTACAGACTACTGGCACCAGGTTGATTCACCAACTGAAGATCAGTTTGAGTGACCACCCTAGCTGTCGGGCGCGTTTGAACAATTGCGAATCAAGCAAGAGGAGAATCAATAGCCTCAATGTATTCCAGTCCGAATCCCTAGACAGGTCGTCCGCGGAAGGTGTGGGACAACGCGCCCAATTCGGGTTTCCTAACATGGCTGACGCACACTGCCAAAATTAATTTGTCGCACCTGCCGGTCCGACAAGGCCTCGGACCGGCCTGTCCGAGCAGCTCTCGGACATGGCCGTCTGATGAGAGGTCGGACAGGCCTATTCGAGCAGTGGGCAGGTGGTACGACGGACCATCTGCTCGAACAGACGAATCCGACCTGTTGCCGGACAGCCCCGAGGATCGGACAGGTCGCACCGAGGACTCGTCAGACCGGCCGGTCCGTGCAATCAATCTGGGCACTGACAGAGACCTGAACAGAGCCTCCCCGCGGAAATTAGTCCGGGTTGTTTTTTACAAGATAAGCGGGACTTGTTACCAAACAAGCATGTTTACTGACAAGGATACATGGGGAATCTTGCGTGAATAAGCATGATATTCGGGAACTCTGAAAAAAAAACAAGTTGATACAGAAAGTCCGCCAAGAGCAGAGAGAGGCCACTTTCTCTCAATGGCCGGCACTGGCCATAGGCAGAAAAGGCATACTCACTCAATGGCCAGCACCAGTGATCAAAACAGTGTAGAGGACTGGGAACGGCTGCCGGTCTGTTGACAACCTGTGCCGGCCATCAAGGGAATGTGGCTTCTCTCTTGATCACTGGTGATGGCCATCAGTAGAGGGGGTAGTACTAGAGCCCTCTTGATCCCCGGGCTGAAAGTAACAATGGCAAACCTTGATGACCGGTGTGCCGGTCGTCAGGCTTGGATGAATGCTCATGGCTGGTATGTAGCAAGTGTTGGTCTACATTGCTATGGCAATGGATAAGCCGTCTTTTTTTCTCTTTTGTTTTTTACATACCGAATATCCTGCTTACGTTTTGTTTTCGCGTGACGGCAGCGCACTGGTCTGGGGAGTTACAGTCGTCTCCTTCCAAAGTGGAACTGAGGCAGTCAGGATGGGTTGGAATCAGATCAAGTAGGAAAGTTAAGACCATCTCCACCGCGCAGTGGCATCCGCGTTGGTAAACTTACCAGCTCGCAAACTGCGGCGCGCGGATAGCAACCCTGGAGAAAGATATTTTCCACCGCAGGGTGCTATCCACTATGCCCCTTGGAGGATTTTAAGGGAGTAGACGGGGGGCCGGTTCGGAATGCCTGGCCCCCTATTACTCTTCATGCTCCTAGAGCACGAGGGTATTTTGTTTCTGCGGCGCCTAGTGAGTAGGCTCCGCTCATGTACTCCTGTACTTATTCAGTATCTTATTGAGATACCTAGAGAATCCTGGAACCTGGCTTATTACTGCCGGGTTCCCGAGACTCCCAAGTGTGGGTTGGGGGGGGTGAGACGGCCTAGGTTGTGGCTAATAGCACACGACCGGCGTGGCGCTTCTCATAGGCTCCGGCCCGGAAGTACCGCCAGGCATCCGAAGATCCTGAGACGGTCTTGCCGACGGAGATCGTTTGAGAGCGTCCAAGCTCACCCCGGAGCAGGAGGACACACCGGTTGAGTAGAGCCGAAGCTCGACCCATTTCTCCGAGCTATTGTACTCGGAGCCCAGCTCGGCGATCCTCCTGGGTCCCTCACCCGCACTTACACCTTAAAAGAACTAGGACAGTCGGTTTATATCAAAGAGAATCTGGTATATCACATTTCCCACGTTATCTCTAATTCCTTCAACAGTTTTAAGGTGGAAACAACGTCCTTTTCTGGAAATGGACGGATGTACAACTTATAGCAGCTACTGGTCCACCTTCCAAGCCTGCAGATTTCTTCTACAGGGACCCCTATTGCGTGACGCAAGGAAGCGCCCCCGACTCGGAAAGAATGTCCCGTCAAATCTGGAAAGCCTAGCCGATTCCAAGAAGACGATAACACTCTCCTTACTACTGACTTGGTGAGGTGAGTCCTTCCGCGGATACCGTAGCCGTATCCGAATAGAGAGGTGTCTTCGTTTCTCGCCTCTCCCAGCCTTCGCTTCACCGCCATGACTGGGCATAACATATGCTTAAGACTGTGGAGTAAAATCTTCTGCGAACTCCCCGGCGTACAAGTCTTTGCCCCTCTGATTGTTAATTCCGCGATGACGCCGCTTTGAGTTTCGATGAAACGTACGTCCGAGGTCAGTAGTGAGGCAGTCCTTTGAAGTGGGCCTGTTGCTTGATCGTAAGTGACCTCAGCTAGCCGCGCCATCCCCCAGAAGGCCACAATGGCTAAATCCAAGACTGCTTTCCCTTGGTTGTCGCTGGCCACCAATTGATCGGTGAGTGCCACCAGTTGCGCCACGGTTACAGGAGTTTTTACTGGTCTGGGAGGCCGCTCGGCGTCGGCGTGTGCAGAAGCGCGGAGGAGGACGGTTATCTTAGCCTTGGATTCTGCTGGGTATTCGACTGAGTGATATAGGTGCCAGGCTTGAATCCCGTAGAGGTATTTCGCTAAGGTTTTGGCGCATATGTCTTGAGGGTCAGATTCATCGACGTTCTTTCCTGCCCAATGGCAAAATCCGTAGAGATCTCCGGCTGATATGGGAAGGGTGAACGGCGTTTCTTTGACTGCGATTTTGTACTTCATGAACTTCTGCGTTGCCGCATTATAACTAAGTAGAGTATTCCACTTGTATCCCCTTAAGAAGTGTATGTCTAGGGAGCTAGGGCTTCTAAGTTGGCATCCATTTGCTAAGAAAGTTTTTATCTTACTTAGGTCTAGCATTAGAGGATTCGGTGCTCTGGCTGGAGAGTGCGACTCAGGGGATGGTAGAATTTTGGTTGGTAACTGGTTTAGATTGCAAAAGGAAACAGGATGGATTTATTCTCTGGTGAGGGTTGGAGAGCGAGTGGGGTAGTTTCATCTAGATACATGCATTCATGGGCGACAAGTGTGTAAGTCTAAGGGTGTTACCGGCTTGTTTCAATCTAAGCTGCTAGCTTGAAACATTAGTCCTTCTAAATCGCTCGGAAGATCAATTACTACCTGGTTCTTCAGAAGGTGGTTCCTCCTATCTCCTCGAGATAGGCCGTCGGCTTTGTTTTCTTTTGAGGTTACTCTCTTAGCTACCAGATCGATCTGCATCTCTAGGAGGATATCCTGTATCCGCTTCCATTCTTCATTAACGTGGAGGTCTTTTGACTTCCTGCTTTTCACCGCGTCTTCTGAAGTGGTGTTATCGGTCCACACAATGATTGTTTTGCCTTTCCGTATGTCCAAACCTTTCATCATCAGGAGTCCAATCCTTATCGCGGCTGTCTCCATCCAGGCTATGCCCAGTCTTGGTAAGGTCCCCTCGTTCCAACCGGGTCTCACTTTGAATTGGGCCCAGCGTTTACCTATTAATACTCCTATTCCGTAACTGGTTGACGCATCTCCCACCCACCCAATTTCGGTTGGTTCTGGGTTTGCGATCAGTCTTGTTCGGTCGAAAGTCAGTAGTGTCTTTAGCCAGTAAAGCATGTCTTGCCTGGCATCTAGCGGTAGCGGTCGTGGAACGTGGCGATGGACCCACTCGTTCATCATTCGGTATAGGCTACATAGGTAGCATCTGAGTTGAGGGAGCATGTAAGACACATGATTCAAGCGTCCTGTCATGATTTCTATCTGCTTGTACGTGTACTCTTCCCCTTTCGTCAGAATTTCTTGAATCTGTTTGATCCGTGCTTGCGTTTTCTCCTCTGGTAGTCGGACCGTTTTTTCCGCTGCATTCCAGATGAATCCTATGTACTTCTGTTCTAGTCTGAATGGTGAGATTTTGGTTGGGTTCGTTTTTACTCCTAGTTCGTTCGATCTTGCTACGATGTCGTCCATCTCCACCGTTGATGACAATTCTTTTACAAATAAATTGTCGTCGACCCATCTGAAAACCGTCACTAGGTCGAATTCGGCCAACATAATATGTTTCCATGCGTCCGCTGGTCGTCCGAAAGATCCGCACCCGGCTACCCCTCCGAAGGCAATTCTCGTGTCGACTATTATCTCTCCTTTGAAATTCTGTAACATCAGGTAAGGCCATTGGCTTGGTGCCGTGGGTATCTGACGGTAAGCTTTTTCCCAGTCGAATATGGCCAGTAATGCCGTTTTGGTTCGGTTTCTCAGAAATTTTGCTACCGCTTTGAAATCGTCCCAGGTTGTATCGAAGTCTTCTTTGTTCACAAAGGAGTTGACCGAAGGTATCCCCTCCTTCCCGTGAGGAAAGGAAAGATCGTTGATAGCTCTCAGGGACCCGTCACCATTTACTACCGCTCCTAGTGGGTTTGTTTGGAAGAAGCCAAACTTCTTATGGACTTGCTCTGTCGTGTAAGGGCCAAACATCCGTCCGGCCTTAATCTCCTTCGAGATCGATTCTTCTATCTTCGGTTGGGCCTGTAGCGCGGAGCTATGATTGGGGGGGGGCGTAAAATGGTAAACTCGGTCCTAGGTCGTGAACTGGGATACCTTGATGGAAACCTTCTTTGAATCCTCTGAGAACATCTTCGAACTCGGACATCAGGTTCGTGTTCGCGAGTGCGGCTTCCCACTTTGGGATGTTCATGTCGCATTTCACTTCACTTGGCCAAGTCACTCCTTTTCTTACTTCGTTTATGGGTTGGTTTCCAAACCTCTCATATGACTCTCTCGGGCTGCCGTCCCTCAGTTCCATCCTGTCAAGCAGAATAATCATTTTGTCAGGGTTCTCTCCTCTAGCATAGTTCTCACAAGTGATTCTCATGTTCAATTTCAATCATTAGGTTTAGTGGTACAGACTCTGGAAGGTACAAATGTTTCGGTCATGGTCCAAAAGTGATTTGGTGCAGGGGGAGGGGAGGGAACAATTGACTATATGGAATGCATGATTGGATACATGATTCTGTGATCTGAGACGGAGGAAACATATTTGAAAGTTGCCTACCTCCCCATCTTTCTTGCTGTTGTGGTATCTCCCACTGCTGTGGGATTGAATGCTCGAGTGGTTGGGGTTATAGTTCTTCCCTTGGTAGCCCGAGCCTCGTAGACTTTCGCGTGGTTTGGCTGGGAGGTGGCTTGGTCCTTGGGATCCGGACTGGGTCTGGGGGTTTGTGTTTTTGGTGTGGTGGTTGGAAGTCGGGTTGCTTGCAGTCGATTTCGTGGTCGATTTGGATCCAGTGTGCGGGTCCCACGACGCTCGGACCCCTCCTATCGCGTAAGGATTAACCTCTCTGAACACTAACTCGTCGTAACTCCTTGCTTCTGCGTAAGCGGTATCGTAGACTTCTTGTCTGAAGATCGAAATGTCGGAGAATGACTTTACCCCGTTCTTCACGACTCGGTGTGCGAAGGCGTTAGCCCTGATCCTGATGTCGTACCGTAATGCGACCATGAATCCATCCTTTCTCAGGATTTTATCGGCGTTGGCTTTATGGAGCACTATCCATTCTCCGAGTGTCTTGTACTTGTAGACATCTCGCATTGTGGTCTAGTGGTAAGGGCCGTCTTACTTCAGTTCGTGGATCATTTTTTTTTTTTTTTTTTTTTTTTTTTTTTTTTTTTACTCACTGTGAATTCCGCGTAGTTCAGGCTCCAATCACTGTAACTCATACACCATTCACTTGGGTATGGGAGCCCGGTGTAACGCAATCCTTTCTCGGTTGAGTTATCATCCGTTTTCGGGTGTTTCTCCGCGTGGTATGTTAGAGCCGCGTCCTGCCACGCTTTGTTGAAGATTGTCAACGGGAGTGGCCCTTTCAATTCGAGAATATTCTTGTCGAATTACGGAGTGAAAACCGACGTTGTCATGAGAGTTCGCATCACCCCAGTTGAAGTTTGTGCCGCCCTCAACCCGTGTTCTTCTTTCCGATCCTCGCTTCTGCTTGAAGTCGCTGTTCTTTCTGTTCTTGAGGCGTGGGTGGTGTTCGTGCTGTGACTAACTTGGCGTAAATCTGTAGAACATGTCGGCCCTGATCTTGTCGCCTTCTGCGTCTGCCGCGAATGCTTTTCGAGGATTAGGGCTGTCTCTTCGTCCCTATCGGCTTCGCGTTTCCGGGCCGCTTTGGCTGCTATGGTTTTTTCTGCGTAGGCTTTTTCAACATCAACTGTTTGTCTTTGTCAGTTCTGGATGGATTTTTGTTTGGAGTTACCCTTGGACTTACTAGTCTTTGCTCCTAAGATCGCTGCGATCTCTTTGGATTGTTTCGTCACTTGACGTTGTTTTTCGACATTTGCCGCCACTTCGTCGAGGGATAACGAGTGCTTGGGGATTGTGCTCGGCTGATTTGCTGGCTTGGTCGTTGCCGTGTGGCTTGCGCTACCAGTTGGTGCTTTTGCCGCGGCTGGGTTTTTGGGTCTGGAGGGGATGGGAACGATGGGGTTCGGAGTTTGGGAAGTGACTGGAGTGGTCGATTGGGTAACAGACGGTGGGATGGGCGCGGTTGAGGGTACGGGGGGAATGCTTGGGTTTAGCCCGGTTGCAGCTGGAGTAGCCGCATTCTCTCCGGTGAGATCTGCATTATTACGTCTCATTTGGTTTGCGGTAGATTGAAGGTTATTTGGGTTGGTAGACATTCTAAGGTTATTATGGATGTGTAGGATTATAGATGTGTAGGATGTAAGAGGATATAAGAGAAAATTTCTTTTAGTTGAGTGACAGCGGGTAGAATTTTCTTTGAGTAGTGGATGTGGATGGGAGTGGAATCGCGGAAGGCAGTTGGAGATCCTAGGGGGGGAGAATGGCCTGGTAGCGAGACGAGCCTTGTTCTTCAAGGACTATGGGAAGAGAGAGAGAAGACCACGTGTCCAGTCTCGCCAGAATATGGATCCGGCAAGTCCGGCCGAGGGGCTTAAAGGCATCTCGTGTCGATACCGGCCACGTGGTCTTCATAGAAAGAGGGCGGCGCCGTGGACAACGCCCACCTACGCTGCTCTTCGGAAAGCTACTATACTCAATACCTCGCGAGTGAAAGGCCGCCCCCGGTCAACCCCCCTTTGATCACAACCTTTTTCATCACAGATTGAGCAAACGGCGGCAAGTCGGCAACTCTCGATTTCTTGCAAGGTACTACCACCATGGACTCCAACCTTCAAACTGAGCCTGAGGTCAAAGTCTCCAATCCCAACATCCTACTCTCACTCATGCGCCAAAGGCAGATGACCGCCAGCTCAAACGCCAGGATGAACACCGTCATGCAAGCGACTTTGTTGCTTCTCGCCAACAAGGACAAAGACTGCGAAGAACCCACTCACGGCGGATCCAGACCCAGGAAGCATCCAAACTTGCCTCGTGACTTTGAAGGCAGCTATCAACAACTGGTTGCCCATTACTTTGACCACTGCCCTCTGTATTCCGATGAGACGTTCCAACAACGCTTTCAGATGGTGCGGCCGTTATTCCTGAGGATTGCGTGAGCCGTTGAGGAATGCAACCCCTACTTCACCCATCGACCTGACACTCTGGGGAGGTGGGGCCTGACAAGGAGTGGCATGCTGGGTCAGCTTTTATGTCTTTTGGGGGATGTGAGCGGTAGTTGATAGGGGGGGAGTCTGGATTTCACCAGGATTGACCTGTGAAACCGTTGGGTTGGTATAGCAATTGCACATCTAGCAATGCTATACCTCCCGAGGGGGGGAAAACTAAATTTACCTCCCCTTTAGCACCCCCGGTGGCAGGGGTTTTTTGAGCTTGGGGGGGTAAATTTGGTTTACCACCGCAGGTGGAGATCGTCTAAGAAGGTGGGCCGACCCAACCCCCTAGGGTTGTCAGCGCCACCCCCTGTGGTGTGCCAAAGTGAGCGCCCAGTTTTTCAAAAAGGGGGGGGGGTGGCATGCACCTCTAACCCTAATTTTACAGGGATGACCTGGAGAGTCCATTGTGGAACTACTCTTGGGAGGAATAGAGCTTGAGAGTGATGAGTGCTTTATTGGGCTGCCTCTCTGGTAACTACAATGAGTAAGGTAACAAGAAAATATAAGAGTATGGACTCTTAAGGAAAGGTGTGGCTTTGGAGATTTCTTGAGAATGGTATGTCTAATATGTCTTATGTTTACTAGTCTAAATATACTTGTTCACAAATCAAGGTATCCCAAATGTTGATGGGAAAATACCTGGCTAATAATTGGTGATCAGTTATCTGGATTGCTGGGGCAGGATCTGATGAGGAACAAATGAAGAGGAAAAACAAAGCTCCTTATATACAAAATTCTGGGGAGTGGCCAGCTTGTGGTTGGAAGATAAATGGAACATTCTATGACGAGTATGAAACAAGGGAAAATATGTTTATCCATAGAAACAGGGGAAATAGGCAGTGGGCAAATGCTCCCAAGGTTACTAGTATGAAACAAATAAGGAGGAAAAATATTCCATGGAAGGAGATATGAGGAGATAACTGTTTCATGGGCAAGGGGATTGTTACTAGTGTGAGACACAAGGAGAAAGAAGAATGGAATATGTTTGGAGGGGAGTGAGTTTCAGGGGTGTGGAGTTTCTGGCTGGGAAATATTATTATCCATGTGGTCTGTGCTTGAGGGGATTCATGAGTGGTGTTTGGATCTGTTTTGAGGGTCTGGGGAATTCCTGAGGGGCCTTGATCCTGTGATTCCTCTGTGATTTGTACTCTTGCTGTGCTTGGATTTTCAGGATTGGCTTACCACATCCACCCCCAAATTAGATGATGTCCCCATCATCCAGAAAGAAAGAGAAAGAAAAGCCAATCCTGAAAATTCTGAAAAGTATATCATAGATAGAGAAAGAGGTCATAACTGTGGAAATTCATGATCAGAGGTAGTGCTAAAAAAAGAAAGGAAACAAAAAATCTATGGTTGTATATGTAGCGGAATTGTTTTTGTATTTTTATCTTATGTAATGATTTTATATTTTTGTTTTTGTTTTATTTTGATCCATCAATTATTTATGAAAGGTTCTGATATCTTGTTTCTTCATGTATCCCAGGGAATTATAAAAGGTAGAAGACTGATGTGAGAAAAATTAGAAATAAAACTAAGGAGAAGAAGCAATAAATTGGGTTTTAACCACCCCCAAATTAGAGGTGAAGGTGTTCTGGGAATGTCTGGAGAAGGTAGGTAAGAAGTTTTAGGGTTTGAGAAGAGCAATAAAGTGTCTTGAGGACAAAGAGAAGGGGCATCCACCCCCAAATTTGGAAGTTTTGAGATGTGATTTGGGATTTAACAGGATTAATTCAGATTGGCCTTGAGTTTCAGTAAAAAATTCAAATTCTCTTCTCCCTCTTTTTTTTTTTTTTTTTTTTTTTTTTTTTGAAAATATACAAGTTCCATTTTCATTTTTCTTCCATTTCAGATGGGTTGATTCAGATTTCTCCTGATTTGTCTTGTTTTGAAATTGAAGAATGTGCAGTCCTGCCTGCAAGAGGACAGAAGAGTTGAGTCCAATTGGAAACAGATGAGCATGGCCAGTATTGCAGATGTGAAACAGGCCTTGTTATCATCTGCTTGAGATTGCTTGTATCCATAGCCAACATAATGAGGTTGAAATTGGTAGTGAGGTGATGAGACAAGTTGAAAGCCTCCTCCGAGGTTCCATGAGAACAAGCCTTCAAATTCTTTGTTCCTTGTTGTCTGTACAATTATATACTCCTTGGCTCTTAGTCGTTCGGTGAGATCTAGATCATGCTCGATACCTGGGTCAAATAGTCCGCTGAGGTGCTTGACATCATCTCTTTCCTGATTCCAACCAACCCTTCCTTCCCAGTCCGACTCCCAACAATGCCAATACCCTTTGAATGAATTCCTGAATGCTACTATCCTTGAATCTGGTATGTCCTCCGATTGATCTAAAGCTCCAATACTGGCTGGTATTTTCACACTGATCCGTCTCCAAATCGAATGTTTAGAGCTATTCATTGGCAAAACCCACCCTTTTTTATTGTTTCTTTCTTTGATTGAACTGGAAGTGCTACAGTCTCCAAAATCCTTACAAACTTCCAACTGCGATGCAACAGTCCCAACTGCTTTTCCTTGGTTTTTCTGTCCTGATACTTGAAGCGAATAGAAACAACTATCGCGATTGACTCCCTGGTGAGTTTCCAACTGCAATCAAAACTTTTCAACATGTACTTTGGCAAGATCGATTGTCCCCTTTTTTTGCTTCTCTGAACCATCCAGCGCGAAACGTTTCTGATCAATATCTTCTTCCGCTGTCTGCTAGCATTCCAAACCAAATAATCAAAGCTCAGCAAAGCAAAACTGGCCGCTTCAACACCTTGTTGAAGTTCCAATGCAACCCATTCAACGCCAGCAACACGAAACTGGTCGCTCCAACTCTTCTTCTTTGAGTTCTGATCCAACCCCTTCAATGCCAGCAACGCGAAACTGGTTGCTCCAACAGGTATAGTCTGTTGATGGGTGATAAAGAGACTAAACAATATTACCCTTTCTGATCCTCTGAAGGATTTAATGTGTCCACTGATCCTATTTTCCTTTGTCTTTCTGGAGAAGGTGATTACTGAGGATTGAGAAATTTTGTCAAAGGGCAAAAACTTGTGCTTATCAAGGAGTAAGTCCAGTTTGATGAGTTTTTGTTGAGGAAAAGGAAAAAAACTGGGGACTGAGAGGCTCATGTTTCTACTGATTGGCTTGATCCTTTGTTTTATGAACTTCACATGGTCTCCTGTTCCAATCCCTTCAGGGCTAATCATAGGGTGTTTGAGGCAGTTTGACAAGATGCCTGGGGGTATGAAGGGTGGCAATTTCTGTTGGTGGGGAGGTACTTGGTGAGTTGTAGGAGAAAAATGTTCTGTGAGAATTTTTGTGATGGAAGCTGATTGAAACTTTATTTCTGTTGTTTCCCCAGGGTCTGTTTCTTTGTTGCAGGGTCCTAATGTTTTTTTGATGTTTCTCTGAGGATCAGATACTTGCCTTGAAGGAATAAAAACTGGTTCCTGGTATGAAAATTCACCTTTGGAATCTTTGAAGACAGGTTTTGCAACATGGGTCTCCATGGAATTCAATTGTGAATTGGGAATATAATCAATTTCTAGAAATAAGTTGGGTGCAATGTTTGAAATGGGTTCTTCTGGGGTTCCAATTCCTTCAGGTAAAAATACTGTGGAATTTATTGTGGGGTACTGAATTGACTGTACTGAATCCAAGGTTGATACATCCTCTGGTTTGATATTCTGACCAAATTTTTCCTCATTTTTCTCTTCCACCAGGGTTGTCAGGGAGTTTTGCAATCCAGGAATAGAATTAACTGGGGTCTCTTCAACTTGGAATACTGGTAAAGTCTCTTCTGGGGAAATGGGTTCTGAAAAAAGTTCACTTTCTGATCCAAGATATACTGATTGATTTTTATCCAAGGGATCCAAATTCTGGCTATTTTCCAGGAGCTGAGGGCCATTTTCCAGGGGCTGAGGGGAAGATTCCAAGGTTACAGGTGCTACTGGGAAGGAATTTTGTTCAACCATGGTACCTGGTGAGGATATTTCTGAAATGAATTCTGTTTCTGATCCAAAGTGTTTGGTTTCTGTGTTGTCCAAGGGTTCCAAGGTTTCCAGGGATTGATCATTTTCTAAGGTCAGGGGGCAGGCATCCAA